AAATATGCAAGGAAGAAGGAAGCCCAAGCAAACCACCTCTTCCCACCCTGACCCTGATTTATTTGCTGATCTGTCCACAACCCTCTGTCAGGTCCAGAAAGAGTCTCTAGAAAGCAGTCCACAAACTCTCCAGTTCTTATTCACACACACTCACTTGCTTCTGCAGCTGGAGGAGGCGGGAAGTGTGTGTGTGTGTGTGTGTGTGTGTGTGACCCACTCTGCCTCACTGCCCAGCCTCTGCAATGCTCCAGGGCATTTCTCCGGCAGAGGTCTGGGGTCACTTCCAGATGTTCTTGGAAAAGACGGCTAAGCGATCCTAGGCCCCTGGCTGCAGTTTCCTAGGGCTCCGGAGTTTCTTCTCCAGACGACCTTCAACAGAACAAGGTCCTGTTTCATCCAGCCAATCTCACACCAGCTCGTTCAAGCAGTCACTGAGCAGCAGGAAACACTGGCGAGATGGGGAAGGTGGCCAGGCTTGCCCAGAACCTGTCCCTGCAGTGAGATCTGTGCAGTCCCCTCTCAGGGCCAGTCTCTTCTATGAAGCTGGTATGAAACTAATGGATACTAGTTAATAATCCCTCATAACATCCAGATGACTGGCTTCCTGTGTGCTTTTTGAGACTCTAAATTAGTTAATTTTCTTATCACTGGACAAAATACTTGACAGAAGTGACGTAAGGGGAGGACAAGTTTACTTTAGCTCATGGGCTCTGGGGTGCGGCCCATCTAAGCTGGGAAGCCATGGTAGTTGGGACAGGTCCAACCACAGCAGCAAGAGTACGAGACAACAGCCCCTAACTTCTGGGGGAAGGGGGTCAGGAAATGGAGGTGGAACCAGAAGCAGGTTGCCAGGGGCTGCCACCTGCCACCCGGGTCCCAAGGTTCCGTAATCTCCAATACAGTGCCACCGGGTAGGACCCAAGTGCTCATGCGCATGGGATTGTGGGAAATTTTGCTCATAAAACCCTCAATAAGCAAGGGTTAGAAGAAGCCTCCTGGCTGATGCTTGGAGTCCTGGTGCCCCACGTGCCTACGAGGAAGCCCCAGCAGAAAGAGGCTTCACAGAACCACGCAGAGCAAGTTGCTAGGTGGCCCAAGAGGTGCTTTGTGTAAAATTGGGAGAGGAGAAGACCCGTCAAGACACGAGGGACAAGAGGTGACCTGGGACCTGGGTCCCAGCAGCAGGAAGACTTGGCAAACAGTCTTCCCCTCATCAACAGTTTGTTCTCTTCAGAGAGCAAAGAAAGTGGCAAAGAAGGATGGGAAGGGGAATTTTAAGCACCCAGCTGATGCTACAAAATACAAGTATGGAGAAGGAAAATGAGGAAAGCAAAAGACGTAGGAGGTGCCAGCAGAAATCCATACTGAAGGATGAACCCAAGTGGTTAGGGTCACAGATGACAACCCTGAAGATGGCTGTCTACTGGAGCAGACAGCTGGGCAAGCACAGTCAGCCTCCCGGCTCCCCTTCCCCCGGAGCACACAGGCCCCACCGGGAAAGCAAATAATGGCTCCCTGAGTAGATGGTGGAATGGCCACTGCTTCTCACAGGGAGATGGATTCCAAGACAGCCAGAGTTTTATGTCCTTGTCCACCGACTGTGGGGGCATCTGTGGTACCTTAGGTGGTATCATCGTGATATCATAGGTGGGCTGTGAGTGCCCCCTGCTTTTGTGTCCTGCTTAGGGAATATCAGAGTTGAGATGAGACAGGACCCACAAGTTCACCCGAGCTAACCCACAGGTGTATGAGAAGTGACTTGCCATTATGGAAGAGTGAGGGCTCAGTCCTCCTCCGTGGCTCAATCCATTCTTCTCTCTTACAGCTGGGCTTTGCAGCCAGAAAAATATTAGGACTTCTACCCGGGATGTAAGGGTTCCCCAGAACCCTACTGTCAAACACTGAGGCTGTAGTTAAGAGTGCCGTTTGCTTTTACAGAAGACCTAGGTTCAGTTCCCAGCACACATGTGGCAGCTCACAACTGCCTGTTAACTTCAGCTCTAGAGGGATCTGATGGCCTCTTATGGCCTCTTACGGAGCTGCATAAATATGTAGCACATACATACATGTAGGCAAAATATTCACACATATAAAAAAACCACTGATGTCTCGAGGTGCATCACAGGGAGGCAGATAGGGAGTGGGTGATGTTACATCTATCTCTAATTCCAGCCCTCTGCCTCTTACTATCCCCTCACAGAGAGCATGAGAGCTCCCCTCCATTAAAAGGCTGGTCCCCGGGGCTTGGTAGTAGCTAGACTCCCATTTCAAAAGCTTCTGACGGGCTAATATTCTCCCTTCCCTTTGCTTCAGCTCTGCCCCTGGTTTCCACATTTTAAACATCACCCAGAGAACTGGTAAAGAATGCAGATTCCCGAACCAGCCTCCAAATGTTCTAACTCACTGGATCTGGATGGAGTGCGGAGAGCTGCATTTTAACTAACACAGTCTCCATCCCAGCTCAGGGCTCTCAGAACAGGCTAGAAGATGATGAATTAGAGACACCCCCTACCCCTATCTCAGGATGGGAGCCGTGTTTCCACCTGGCTGCTTCTCCTGACCTGCCCTTGGTCTCAGACTCTTGGCTCATTACTGGAGCTCTTAGCCACAGTCCCAAGCCAGTGAGCCGGTGAGCTAGCAGGCTACGTGTCACCTGAGTAGAGGACTGAAAACTAGGCCATTGTGCTTGACTGGGCTGATCCCATCCCTCCCAGCTGCTACTTCCTTCCCTGCCTCCCCCATAGAGCCCTGATTCCAGCACCCACTTCCATTATTTAGGAAAGAAACCTGGCCCAGGGCTCTGGGGGCAGAAGGACATGGAGAGAGGCTTCTGAAAAGACACCAAAGGGAAGAAAGTGTTCAGGAGCCCATAGCAGAGGGAGGGAAGCAGATAGATGGACTGCAGATAGATGGGTCAGGCCTGCAAATGAGATATCAGCTCATTATGGCCGAAGGGCCAGCCTGGGCCTTGGAGGAGCCAGGACCTCTCATCAGTGTGAGCGCAGTTGAGGCCACAGACTTCTTTCTTGTCCTCATAAGGGTCCACAGCTCGGGAATAAGAGGATGCAATGTGTCCACCCTCTCCTCCTGCATGCTCAGGCCCCTTAGCCAGTACTTGGAGTGTTCCTCAACCAACATCATCTCCCCCTGACTTTCGCTGTCTCTTCCTCTCCACCCTCCCGTGTCTACACCTTTCTTCTCTTGTCCGTTTTCCTCTTGTTCTCTCTGCTCTTCTCCGATTACCTCCTTCCTTCCTTGTCTCTTTCTTCTGTTCTCCGTTGGCCTTCCCTGACCCCCTTCTCTGTGGCTCTGGCTGCAGGACTCCTACTACATAAGTTCGGTGTCCGCCCATAACTGACTCTGGTTGGGTTCTGTGTCCATATCGCACCAGCTCTGCCTCTCCTCTGCCTCTTTGCCCTGCGACGCACAGGCTGTTTTCCTCTCCAGGAGAGCAACGCTATGTGTCTCGATGCCGGGCTCCTGCCAGGGGCTGAGTCGTGGACACCCACAGATGCTTACCCTGTGGCGCTCCCTCACGGTTCCCACCAAGCTGAGGAAAGTGCAGAGCAGAAGCAAATGCTCAGATTTCCATGAGAAATCAGAGTGGTCTCTGCCTGGGTAGTCTTGGAGACTCTGCCATCCAGCATCCCTCTCCAGCCCAGACTGACTTTCAGGCTTGGCAAACCTCTTGCCTCCATGTGCTTCCTGTCGCGTCCACTCACCCACCCTGACAAGCTCAAGACAAACCTAAGAGAAGCCCGGAGAGAGGGTGGCTATGGCTCTGCCCAGGGCAGGGAGAGGAGAGGGGAAGGATCCTGCTCCTTCCCAGGCCTCACTCTCCTCCTTGCACTCTCTGGGAGCTGACCTCTCTTCCCTCAGTGTGGGGCGGCAGAGTCCACACACCTCCATGCCCAGATCACACTCTCTTTGCTTTCTCTTGACAAAAGGCAGCAGAGTTTCGAGTCTTTGGATCTTCTGGGAGCATGGAAGAGATGGATCCTGCTCAGAAACTGTCTAGGTCGTTGGCGGGAGTGCCGGGTACTGAGCTGCCTGCTTGGCTCACAGCTAGGGGCAGCCTTGAAGGACAGGGTGGCTTGTGCCCACTTGTGCTGTGATGCTGTCTTCCGGGAGAACTGAACAGAGAAGGGGCAGGCTGTAGAGGGGCCAATAAGGAGGACTAGGTTGGGACATGTGACAGAGATGACAGCAGTCCAGCTCTGCGAGCCTGTGGGCACCTGCCAGACATACTGTGATAAGCTTCTCTTGGCGGGAAGGTCTAATGTTGGAAGTGCCAGATCTGGAACATGGCCACATCCAGATTCCTACCACCCCACACAAGACCCTGGGAATAGAGCACCAAAAGGAAGTGAGGCAAGATGATGGGGGTTGGTCGAACAGGGAGAACACACTGTGCAGGCGCTGTCCTTTCCAGGAAAGACTCACCAACTTGGAGACACCAGTGGGAAGAAAAGGACCTTCTTATCTGTCTTGATAGGATATATTATATATAACATTCATCATCACCCCATTATGGTACCCAGGCAGCCCTTCCACCTCATTATTCTAAGTAGCTAGGACCATAAGTATGAGCCACTGAGCCTGGCTCATTCCATTTACAAGTTTTGTTGACCCTGAGATCCTCTAGGGCTCGGGTAGAATTTGAATCCAGAACAGAGAATACCTTCTTTGGTGGCACTGTACGACAGCTGATCGCACTAGGCCTTGGGTATTCAGCTATGGGATGGTGAGGGCAGCCGATAGCTTGCCTCCCAGGCTGCTGCATGATAGGAGAGATGACAGGAGAAAGCTGTCCTCCGGGGTTATTCAGAGGAGACCCCAGTGTGGGTAGGCAAAGCCGTAAGACACTACTCCTTCATTCCTGTCGGGCTAGAAACAAGCCAGGTCCCCGACCCCTCCAGGATGGCCTCACCCGACCCCTCAGCTCTGGAGGAGTTGACAGGGATTGACCTCGCTCACTACCCCCTCCTGCTTGCCCTCAGCTGTGTGGTAGATGAAATGGACTTTTCCAACATGGAGCTGGACGAAGCCCTGAGGAAGTTTCAAGCCCACATCCGAGTGCAGGGGGAAGCCCAGAAGGTGGAGCGCCTCATAGAAGCTTTCAGGTGAGAGCCCTTTCCCAGCTCCTCTTCCCAAATCCCCAAGCACCATCAATTCCTGAGAAGCCGGGGTGGTGAGAAAAGCTGCCATGATTCCAGGCACAGAGATACTGAGCTGGGTGAAGCCCTTCTGATAAAGGCGAGAAGGTGGGCTGGATGGGAAAAAAAAGAACAGGATCTTTTAGTGAGTCCTCCAAGCCGGGAGCCTCCCATGGATGCTCCTTGCTCACCTACAGACAGCCCATTTTAACACACACATGTGGGAGGTGGGTATGGGAGGATGGGCAGAGCCAGTGATCTCCCTGGCTGTCCCCAAACCCCTCAAGAGCTGAGGCTGGGAAGCTCATGGTTCTACCCAACCCCCCCCCCACAACAGCCAGCGCTACTGCATGTGCAACCCCGAGGTGGTACAGCAGTTTCACAACCCAGACACCATCTTCATCCTGGCCTTTGCCATCATCCTTCTCAACACCGACATGTACAGCCCCAACATCAAACCCGACCGGAAGATGATGCTGGAAGACTTCATCCGAAACCTCCGAGGTGAGGAGGCTAAACTGGGTGGGGAGGGTGAGGGTGCCACACAGCACAGCCCGGTCCCGTTCGTGTTGATTCTGTGAATGTGAGCCCTGACTGTAGATGTTCTTTGTCTGAGAGGACCTAGCCACCCCTAGCAAAATGGGGAAGTTGCATCCTTTCCATCATACTGAGTCTCCAGGTACCATAGTCCTACTCAAAGCAGCTGGGTCCTATAGCAATGCCTTCTGCCTTCTGTGTGCTGTGGGCCGTCCCCACTGCGTGACCTCCAGGACATCGATGTCTGGGCGGGGCCAGTCCCTCTCACTTCATGACACAGGAGGAGAGAGATGGAGAGTACGCTTGATCGCATCCACCGAGGAAACCTTTCTAACTGATACCAGGCACCTCTCACAGGGACCAGCTCAAAACTATCAGTGCATCGTGTAACATTGATAGCTTTGGCCATTAAAAAAAAAATCAAAGTTCTAGGTGTGGTGCCACACATCCGTAATCCTCAGCACTTTGAAGGGTAAAGCAGGAGGGATGCTAAGGCTTGTTCAAGGCCAGCCTGGGCTGTAGAATGATACCTTCTCCCCCAAAACTAAAACAAAACAACAACAACAAAAAGTATCAGTTAGTTATGTTTGTGTGTATTTAATAACATAAAATAATTCTACAAGTTTCATTACAGAAAAAAAAAAGAGCCTGCCCCTTTTGCCTGCCATTCCCTCAAGCCACACTTTCAATAGTTTTCAGTTGTTTATTGATTTTACGGAGCTAGGATGGAAGACAGGGGACTTCTGAATGCCCGACAAGCCCGCTGAGCTACAGCCCCAGCCTGTTGGCTATGTATTTAGTGCTCCTTAAAGGTCATGCTGTTTCTTCCTGTCCCTTGTTACAAACACAGACTCTATAAGATGTTTAAATATGACCAGAGTTTCTATTTATGAACATCCTTGTAGCCACACCTGTGTCTACAAACCGGCCATTTCCATCACCCAAGAACCTTCTCTCTCATTCCATCTCACCTGAGACTCTTGTCTGAGCTTTGTAAGCTTTTATTTTAGGCATTGTTTAAGTTTTCTGTTCCACAGAGGTCTTATCCACTTTCTTCACCCACTGCCATTAAACCAGTGCTGAGATAGGAAAGCTCAGTAAACACAGCCCAAAGCTCTGCAGCTCTGCAGAGTGTCATGACTATAGTTTTTCCATCTTCCTTGGAGTTGTTGTCCGCCTTCATTTTCAGCTTGGCTCCCTGTGTTTCTACCACTAAGACATCTGACCAGACCCTGAGTATCAACCCTTCACATCCGGATGGTACCCTAGATGTTTCACCTCCTTGTCGGTGTCCCCCGGCATCTCCTGTGCTGGTTCCTGGACACCACAGCTTTCTCATTTTTTAAAGTTGTTTTCCAAAGAAAGGACACGTTGGGTACACACCGGTAACGTAAATTCTGAATCTGCCTTCACGCGTGATTGGGATCTAACTAGAAACAGAATCCCAGGCTGGAATCCAAAGGTGAGGTGTGGGCACTGAGGTGCTGCTGCGCCATCTCAGCACCTTCGGAAGATTGTTCTTCCTCTGTGTCTAAAGGCTTATAAGTTCTTCTGTCTGTCTTTGTGTAGAAAACTTCCACAGGGATATACCTTTTTTCATCCACTGTAGTTTTTGGTCACTTGTTTTAGTTTAAAAACGCATATCCGGCTGTGTGAAATTTTCTGATTCATAGCTATCCTTCCATGTCTGCAAGGAATTGTTTGCAGGACCTTATTGGATGCTCAAGTTCTCTCTCTCTCTCTCTCTCTCTCTCTCTCTCTCTCTCTTTCTCTCTTTCTGTGTGTGTGTGAGTGTGTGTGTGTATGTGGCATATATCCCTCACACTCTCTCCTTTGTACTTTAAATCATCTCTAGACAAGTTATAAGACCCAATATAGTGTAAATGTTATGTAAACACTTGTTATATTGTATTATTTAGGGAATAAAGACAAGAAAACCAGTCTGTACGTGTTTGGGACAAATGCAGAGCTTGGACTACTTTTTGATTGACGACTGGTTGAAAAGCTATGGCTACAGAAGTCACTAAGTGCCTTCTCCACGTCCTTATCCCTTTTCTTTAGCTCCTGTAACTCAGGTGTCATAACCCTGTTTCATTTACTGTGTATAGTAGTTTTCTATACAGCCATTTTCTTCCCTGGCTTTCTGGAAGCTGTTCCTCAGCCTTCCTTCCAAGTCTTCTTCCTGGCTGTCCATTCCCACTGTCACACTGCTTTTTATTTCCAGCCAATAGCTCTTTTGCTCACCAAAGGTTACCAGTACCTAGCATTGGGAAGCAGGACAGGGGAGGGTCTTGCTGCCTGTGCCACCTCAAGCCTCCTGTTTGCCTCCTGCTCAGCTCTTAAGCTCCCAGTGAAGGAAGTCTCCTGACACCCGATCCACAAGTTGTTTGGCACCCTGGCTAAAGGGGAGGGGCAGACCCAGAGAGAAAAGATTGCAAAGAACACAAGATGATCTTCATGCTCATGAGGAGACACAGGGTGGGGTCAAAACAAACACACAGAAGACAATTATAGTCAGGCAGGAAAGTGGCCTGGGAGATGGTTGCAGAGGACAGTAGCGGACCTGGCTGAAGAGGGTATCTTTCCTCTCGTGGGAGTGAGAAGCCAGTTGTCAAAGGTCCTAGACAAGACACAATCGATGCCACCCCCCTGGTGGTGGTGGTGGGGGGGGAATCTTGTCCCTCTTGTCTGAGGCTCTGACCCCTCCACCCTGGTAGGTGTGGATGATGGCGCCGACATCCCCAGAGAGCTGGTGGTTGGCATCTATGAAAGGATCCAGCAGAAGGAGCTCAAATCCAATGAGGACCATGTCACATACGTCACCAAGGTGGAGAAGTCCATCGTGGGCATGAAGACGGTAAGTGCCCATGCCAGGCAGCACTCCCAGTGGCTCTCGACTTCCTCTCCCGTGGTGGGCTACATGGAGTTTGTGATGTGTGCCAGGCACCACATCCTTTTCCGCCTTTGCACGATTTCCTCATCCCTCTTGCCCCCAGCTGCTGTTAACTAGGGTGAGATGTCAAAAAGGACTGGCTGGTGATCTAAGGTCAAGCCATGTGGATGGCCAGTTGAGGACATTTAGAACACCCTTCCTAGGAAGCAGAGGATAGTAGGCGTGCCTGGATAGCCCAGATGAGTAGAAGGCAGAAAATGAATACGTAGACATAGGCTGTGGCAACCTGGGCCCGGGCAACACGGTCTAATGTGCAGTGAGTTTTAAAGCTGGCATCCTCTGCAGGCTCTCTGCACTACTGCCACCTTAAAACTGAGTGCGGGCAAGGCAGGGAAGGCCCCCGTCCCTCCCACTGGAGGGCGCCTTTGAGCTCTGCTTGTGAACTCCCTCCTCTGTGCAGGAAGGATTTTTCACCTCAGAGCCTCTTTGGCTGAGGGATCAGCACTTTTCTCCTCAGCAAGCCAGTTGATATTGTAGTTTCTAGGCTAGATCCCGGGGCTCTTCTAATCCCCTCTCCCTTGCACACTTGCATTTGAGTGTGCAGTAAAGAAATGGGTAAGGGTTTCACACACAGACGGGGATGAGCTGACAGATTCTGAACACTCTGAAGCCTTATTTCAGTTTCTGTTCTTCATCCCATAATCTCATTACATGGGCATAATGAACCCTTTCCCTGAGTATGCTGCCCTGGAGGCATGATGAGGGGAATAGGGGCCGCAAACCGTGCTCCCCGCCCCCACCATGAGAGGTCAAGGGTCAAGTGGTGGCCTTTACGTTAAGAGCAGAGCCCATGACCACTCCCTGGACCTCTATCTCATCTTCTGGAAAATGTCATAGGCTGGGAGGAGGGCTGTGGGGTCTTGGGGTGGGGGTGAGGACAGGGGCCTCACTTTAGAGCCCTTTTTGGGTTCCAGGTGCTGTCCATGCCTCACCGCCGCCTGGTCTGCTGTAGCCGGCTCTTTGAGGTGACGGATGTGAACAAGCTGCAGAAGCAAGCCGCGCACCAGAGAGAAGTGTTCCTCTTCAACGATCTGCTGGTGGTGAGCAGTACAGGCCAGGGCAGGGGGCGGCTGAGGCTGCTGTGATCCTGAGCCCTTGCAGTACAGGCCTTGCCTACAGGGACTGGACAGGGCAAGACTAGGCATGGAGGCAGGAGCTGGGTGGGCCAAGACCATGGTTGGGGAGCATAAGCCGATTCCTACTTGATAAGCCATAAATCCGAGGCACAGAGTCAGGTCACAAGGTACCGAAAGCCAAGGGCAGGGCACACAGCACTGGCACCACATTCCTGCCCAGGACGTCATCAGAAGGCCACTGTCCCTGAGCCCAGGGAGTGGCTGGACAGCATGTGTGTGAGTGGCGTGTTTCTCTCAGAAAACAAGTGTCCCAACCGGTAAATCAGTAATCCATCCCACTATGCCAAGTACCAAGAAGCAGGCAGGGGTGAGTGAGCTCCAGCAGATTTCTGCTCTCCAGCCCTCTCTGTGGGTCACATGGAAATCCTTGCAGGATCCCACAGAAGCTCTCTCCATCCTGCCGTTCTGGCCTGGTGGCCCAGTGACTATCTAGGGTCCTCCTGTAACCAGAACAGCAGAGCATCTTGGCACCTGTCACTTACAGAGCCAATAAGAAGAGGTGGAAACTGAACCTTGAAACTGCTTTATTCAGAGAAAGGGACAGCCTGAGAAGACAGTGGATTAACATCTTAAAGACCTGTCTTGCATCTCATCTCCCCTCAGCAGGTTATACAGGGGGAATGGGATAGGGCAACGCAGGCCCTGAGTCATTCTGGAGGCCAGTCCTGCCCCTCCGTCAGGCAGTCATTTTGGGGATTTGTGATGGCCACACTTCCGTTGTTCCTACCCTTAACTTCTTCTCTCACATGGTGGAAGTTTGGGCAAAGGCGCTTATTGAAACACCCGAGTCTAGTCAGTGACTGTGTTAACCCCTTATTCCTGCAGGAGCATTGGGTCTAGGGGGAGGGGCTTAACTCAGAATGAGCAAACCATTAACAATGTGTGTGGGCAGCCAGTGATGGCGTATACGTGCTGGTTCCTTTTTTCACAATATGGAGTACAAATGAGTCTGTATAATACAGGATGTAAAAACGCTCCTCGCAGTCCATCCTGTCACTTCCACAGGGCAGCGGCACCTTTCTGGAGTGCACATCAGGGCCTGCTCCCTACCAGGCTCCAGTGGGATGAGAAAGAAGCCCCATCTTTTGCCCTAGCCTCCCCCCCACACACACATACACCCGAGAGGTCTCTGAGCTCATTTTCTACGCACTCCTGGATTGCTCTAACATAGGGGCCCTAGGAGCTGCCTCCCACTGGCCAGTCCTCTTTTCTGGTTGTTCCTTCCCTTCTGTTCAAAAGTTCCTCTGGATGTGGTCCCCTCCCTCCCTTTAAGCAGGTCTCCAATGGAATGTGACTTCCCATCCGTCCCTCCGCGTCCTCTGTGCCCAGCTCATAAGAGTTGCTAAATAAAATATAAGTTTATATATTGAGCAACTGGTGAAGTGACCTTTCATTTTAGGGAGAAACAAAAATCAAAGAGAGAGGAAGGAAGGAAGGAAGGAAGGAAGGAAGGAAGGAAGGAAGGAAGGAAGGAAGGAAGGAAGGAAAGAAGGAGGGAGGAAGGGAGGGAAGGAAGGAAGGAGGGAGGGAGGGAGGGAAAGAAGGAAGGAAGGAAGGAAGGAAGGAAGGAAGGAAGGAAGGAAGGAAGGAAGGAAGGAAGGAAGGAAGGAAACGAATGAGACCATATTCTATGGGAGGAGTGCTAGGTGGTATAACAGAGTGACTGGGTCACAGGGAGACGTGGGGGTTGCTTTTAGCTTGTGTGTTTAAATGGGATTTTGAAGCTTTCTCTAAGGAGCATTTGGGTTAACTTAAATAACGAGAGGAATCTGGCTTGCAGAAAGCCACAGGGAGAGTTATAGGAAGGAAATGGCTGCCGCAGGGCTGAGCTAGGCTGTTTCAAGCTCCAGTAAGGAGGACAGTGTGAGGTCAGCATAAAGCCAGCCTGGACCTGGGAGGACACACGGGCCAGCTCTGCTACTTCAGAAGTAACGGGTTCTGGTGTGCTTTAAGCAGTGCCGGCCCGTGTGTACGTGGGCCCCAGGTTGGGGGATGGGAGGACTGTTCTGATGAACATAGGCGTGCACCTTTGCGTAGTGACGGCGTTGACGGCGTTCACGGCGTTGGTGCCTGCCTACGTGCGCACGTTCTTACGGGAGCCCCCTCCTCTGTTTCTGTCCCTCCCCCGGGCAGATTCTCAAGCTGTGCCCAAAGAAGAAGAGCTCCTTCACGTACACCTTCTGCAAGGCAGTGGGCCTGTTAGGCATGCGATTTCACCTCTTTGAGAATGAGTGTGAGTCCTGGGGCCCCGGAGGGTGGGAGCCTCCCCAAACGCCAGCCCTCCCCGCGCCCAGCTGCCCGAGCCTCCCTGCTGCACGGAGCTCACTGCCAAGGTGTGTCTGGGTTCCAGACTACTCCCATGGCATCACTCTGGCAACTCCGCTCTCGGGCTCCGAGAAGAAGCAGGTGCTGCACTTCTGCGCCCTGGGCTCCGACGAGATGCAGAAGTTCGTGGAGGACCTGAAGGAGTCCATCGCCGAGGTGACGGAGCTGGAGCAGATTAGGATAGAGTGTAAGGACCGGCCCCGGCTGCCACGGCGGAGAGGTGGGGTCCGAAAAGGCAGAGGCAGCCCGCACACGCACAACTACCTCTGTCCCCCCTGAACTGTCATGCCTGAACTGCCCTACCCCCACCGAGCCCCTCTCTCACGCCCTGCACTCCTAGCCCCACTGTAGCTCCCCATGCTGATGTGGGCCTGCTTCACACTTGAAGTGAGCCCCACCTCCCAGGGTACAGAAATGTGTGTGCATGTCCGCTAGCCATGTGGGGTGGCCAAGGGCCGAGGTTTCTCACCTAGAACACTGCTGTTGCCTGTGTTGGCCAAGACAGCCAGGGGAGCTGATCCAGGCAGAGCTGATCCAGGAGTCCAAGGGGCAAAATGGTTCAGCTGTGTTCTACTTACATTCCCGGACCGTGACCCCGTGCTAGCACACAGGCAGAGCTGGCATGGCAGTTGAGTCAGGTGCTTGGTCTCATTGTCTTTCTACTGTGAGACTGAAATAAGAGGCTCTGTGTAGAACCTCTAAGAAAACACTCAAAATTGGGCTAAACCGAAACCCAGAGCGCAGGTTGCTCTGGGTTTGGGGGGGGGGTTGAGGGTGTGATTTGAGTACATGCTCATTTTGTACGACGTTGGTTTCCTTACACTCGGGTATCACAGGCTCTTTTCAAGGTCTGGACTAGTTACCTAGAGGGCCCAGCCTGGCTATTTGTTCCTGAACGTTCTTAAGGGTGTGTCTTGAAATGGGTTTACTTTTCTCCTGGTCAGAATATCACACATGGCTCCAAGCTGCTTAGAGAGCCACTGCCTGCCTGGCCTCAGCCCTCCTTAGGCAGAAACTTTTCTTCCAGTCCCGGGGCTTCCCAGAAGTCCATTCTCAGAGCAACAAAGGAGCAGATCTGGTTAGAATCCATTATATCAAGGGGTTGGGGGGAGAGCAGCCTCTGCAGCTGACTTGGCGGACAAGAAAGCCAGAAGGAAACTAAGTAGAGGGCTGGCTCTCGGTCTTCAGAGAAAGAGAAAGTGAGGTGACAGTGGATGAGAGAAGAGGGATGGCCATGCAGGCAGGCGGGGGAGAAAATGAGTCCCTAGGGAGGTAAATGGAAGCCACAAGCAGCCACCATTTCGGGATCTGCTACACACCTGGCACTGGGCAGGTGATGGGATCCATCGTTTAATTCCTACAACTTCCCATGTGTGTGCATTGTTCTCCTCCTCTTACCAGCAAGGAAACTGAGGCCAGCACAGCTTAAAAAGGGAGTCCAAGTTCTTACAGTGAGTGACAATGAACATCATGCCCAACTTACGGCACTAACTCCTCCAAAGCCAGGACGACCCCCTGGGGCCCAGCAAGCAACTGACTGAGCTCAGTGAGAATGCATAAAAGTGAGGGATGGTATGGTTCTGGCAACTAGGACAAACTTGGCCTGGACGCTTACTGTTTAGTGTCCCTGGACAGTAGCCAGCCAGAGAGACAACAAATGCAACCCAAGTGGATGGTTTTAATAAAGGAATCTTGAGTCGTGTCCCATGGAACCAAGAAGCTGAGAGAGGGCTTTAATAATTCCTGCCAAATCTACATGGATGGCAAACTAGCAGTTCCCTAGAGCCACTCAGAGAATAAACTGGATAGTTGCTAGTGCAGAGAGGCTCCAGTGGAAGACCAACTGGGGCATGTGTCCCAGACACACAGATTATGGAATCTACCCCTTGGGAGAACACTGAACACCTTGCAGCAAGCTCAGGAGCTGGCTGCGGGGCAACAGTCCCGCTAGGGATACATGGATGGACTAGATGTCACCAGCTGTGTCTAGGAACCATGCTGTATTTTCTTGCACATTGTTCTAATGCTAACGCATGGACCACTTGCCCGTGTCAGGCCTTGTTCTGTGTGTTTTACCTCAAGTAATCTTCCTAACGGCATCGGCCAGTGAACCCAGCCGTCTGCACAAGTGAGGCACAGAGGGCTGTGTAGCCTGCCTAAGAGCCATCAGTCCAGGTGCCAACCCCAGCGGTCCACCTCCCTGCCCCACACCAGCCTCCTCTCTTTGGCCCTCTGGCAGTCAGGCAGAGCTTGCCATTACCACTCACAGATACTGCTGCTGGCCAGGTTTAACCGGTTCTCGATGCCCCAACCCACTGTCAGAGTGGAGAGCGCTCCCTTCCTACCTCCTCCTGTTCTACCCCGTATCCCCTTGCTCACTGGGACTGGGGACTGTGGGTGCTACCTCTTTTCACATTTCTCCCTTCCTTAGGGGAACTGGAGAAGCAGCAGGGGACAAAGACACTCTCTGTAAGGTCCGCTGGAGCCCAGGGGGACCCACAGTCGAAGCAAGGATCACCCACAGGTGAGACTGGGCTCTGCCCTCACCCAGCCCGTGCAGAGGCCACCACACCAGTCTCTGGGGGCTTCGGGTGGGGCCGTGCTGTCTCTCCAGCTGCTACTTTCCACGAAGGAGCTCCAGACTTGTGTCCTTAACCTTTAGTCCTTAGCTCGGGGTGGAGAAAGGTGACAGAGAAATGTATCCACTTTGCAAACTGTCCCGACGTGTGGGACTGTATGTGAGACGTCACAAGTTGCCCCACCACCCCGCCACCCGGGGCCAAGAGCCGGGTTCCACCCAGATGAGCCTCAAACTCTATTTCTTAAATCTTTTCTTCAGATTAAATTTCCCCACCAGCCAAGTAGAGTCAGAGTGAGCTTAGAGGACTTGATCTTCCCTTGCTTGGCCCCTTGAAGCCTGCTTACCGCCCGACTGTATTCTTCCTGCCAGCTGGGAAAAGCATCTCTCTGAGATGTCGCCAATGTGCCACCGCAACTCTCCACCCACCTAAACCAAGAGCCTCGCCACGTGGGTCCTGGCTCACTTTCAGGGCTGCCAGGATTTTTTACCACCGTCCTCAGCTGATGACATTCATCCCCCCACCCCCTCCCCTAGCTTCTCCTGTGGGAGCTGCAAGTCCCTGTCAGATCTGGATGTGTTATCTCCAGGGTCCTGCCCGTGGTGCCCTGGTCTGTGCAGTTTCCTTTGCACTTTGGGTGGCAGAGGGCTGAAAACTGCCACTGTGGGAACGGGGAGTGAGAAACTCAAGGGGCTCAGGTTCAGAAGGCCTTAGCAAGGAAGGGTCCTCGAGCCATTCCTGGGCGTCCACGGGGTTTCCTGGCGCATACCAGGTGGTGAGGAGCTGTTGTCATAATTACAAGCCGTTAGCAGCTCTGTGCATGGCAAACACCATGACTCCACAGCGCCCCTAAGTCCTAAGTGGCAGTGATCATAGCAATTGACAGCCCCCTCCTTCAAGGGACCTATGATGGAAGGAGGCAGATTTACACAGTGCCTACAAATCATGGCCCACGTAAAAGCCAGCTTTTCCAGACTGTACAACAATTCGCCCGGGAGAAAATGACTCCACAGTGCATGATAAGAAAGAATTCCAGAGGCCTCCTCGTCTGTGGAGGCCCAGAGAGGCGCAGTCCCCTCCCCAAAATTACACAGCGACTGAGTGGCCTAGTGAGGCTGCCGATTCCCAGCCTGCTGTGCCAGGCAGCGCCCCAGTGGAGTGTGTGTAACCTACAGTCTTGCTACCCACACCAGCTAGAGGGTAGCGATGCCGGACGGGGAGGAAGAGGGCCAAGGGTTCCAGGCAGGACTGGTGGAGAATGAGTCCTATGCTGTTTGCATTCAAAGCCAAAAGGGAAGCGATGGCAGGAGAGAAAGCGGCGGAGAGCTCGGGGGAGGTAAGTGGAGGCCTGGTGGCGTCCAGGTGAGTGATCCTGTGACCCCCTGTCCCTCTTCTCACCGTCTCTGTTGTTTCTCTTCTCAGGTATTAATCAATGTCTCCCCAGCCCGACTCACCATTTTACCAATTTCAAGAGATACAATTAAAAGTCACTGCTAGCATGGGTAATGCCACTCTTCCAGCGCCTAGTTAAGCCGCAAGCACTGCCACACTGCTCCCCAGCCAGCCGACCCGGCCCACTGCCCTCCAGGGCCACGCTCCCAGGCCAGCCCAGGGAGATGAACCCACAACACTCTGTTCCACGCTCTTTTCACACCCCTGCCCCCACCCACCCACGCCACACAGTCTTCTTCCCTCCAAATGTGTTCTGTGTCGGAGACTCAATGGTCCCTTTCTAGGTCCTCCCATTTCCCTGAACAGGGAGCCTGGGCTCCCCCCCCCCCAAAGACACTCCTAAAGTCAAGTCATCCCTGATCGCTCTTAGGGACATTTGGATACCTCCTGGGGAAACGGGAAGAATGGGGTTGTGACAGTGAGAAGGAATTTCTCCCTGAAACAACAAGTCTCTGGTCATGGGGTGGGTGAGCACAGGAGGAAAGGAGGCAGAGCTGGGACGCCTCAGAGTTTTTCCTAGGGGGTGAGCTGATAAAGCTAACGACCCTCCTCACTGGAGGAGAAACTGCCATCTCCAAGCCACGAGGGAAAGGGACCTAGGCCGCGTACCCTGCCTCCCATACAGACCCTCCCCCTTGGCTGCCAGGCCTTGAGGACCACCAGCTGCTCATAGACAGCCCTCTGCCATGCCCACTAGCAGGAGGGCTCCCCTAGCTGTGAGGGAGATGCCCACCCAGAAGCCTGCCAAGCCCTTGGGGAGCCACAGGATACCTGGGAATTCAGTTTCTCTCTGTCCCCGCACCCCACCCCCCACGTGTTTCTGGAGGAGGCACCTTTACCTGGAGGAGCTCCCCGCCCCAGCAGCTGACCAGCCCCCAGGGTGGGTATTCCATCCCCTGCCCTGCGCCCGCATCTTCCCGCAGCTGCCCATTCTCAGCCTTGCAGATAACCCAGTCACCAGCCACCCAGCTCATCCTCCTGCGGCCACCCAGGGAGGACGGGCCTTTTGATGCCCCTCTTCCCTTCTACCTGCCCACATGGCTATCTGCAAGGCTGCCCTGCCCCTCCAGCTAGCTCCAGGGATCCTGCCAGCCTCTGCTCCCCTAAGCAGAGGGCAATCTGGCCACCCCATGGCCTTTCGGCTTGGCCCTAGCTCCTTCTCCCCTGGCATTGCTTGGCCCAAGCCCCTATGGCAGGCGCTCTTCCATCTCCTCCGAGCTATTGTGACTGCTACTCATGTTCATATTCTCTCTCTCCCTCTCCCTCTTCTCTCTCTCTCTCTCTCTCTCTCTCTCTCTCTCTCTTTCAAAAAAAGTGAAAAGTAAGCTTTTCACTTACTGAAACTTAAAGGATCCGGGCTGGGGTGGGACTGTTAATGCACACGGAGGGAAGTTGAGACTGTGCACAGGCTGAGGCTGTGGGCTACATGGCAGCAGCTGAGGATGACGGAGCTCACTGGCCCTGGGCTGGGTAGCCTAGCATTGGTGCATCGGACACAAGGGTGCTGTGAGATTAGGAAGCAGAGAGGGTGAGCCTGGTGAGGCAGTCTCAGGCCGCTTCTCCTGGAGAATTACTGCACAGAATATGAGTAGGTATGAGGTTAGCCTGCGCCCTGTGTTAGCAGCGGTGACATGCCCTTTCGCCTATGACATCCCCTGGAAGGACAGGGATGTCCTCTGTAGGCTGTGTGCCTTAATAGCAATGAACTCTGGACACCTCATCTAGGGTGATTTCCAGCCTGGGGAAAGCAGTCTAGGCGGAGGGAGAGGAGGGAGAGAAAAGCCTCGTGGCTGGCTTGAGAAAAGCCTGGAGCTGGGGCTTGAGAATCTTGAAAGGCATAGTCTTAGCGAACCTTACGGGAGACCGCACAAGTCTAAGAAAGGCGTCTCTGAACAATAAACAAGACTGATAAATGCTGCTCTGGGACCCAGAGTGCAGCGAGCTGTTCCGGCCCGGGACTGGAATAAGGTCCTCTCCCCTGAGGCCTCAGCATGACCCTCTGCCTGAGAAGTTGGCTCTGCAAGGTGGTACCTGAGGACAAACAGGCCCAGGAGAAAGCATCAAGAGGGACAGACTGTTATGGGATAGGGAGTTTAAGAGAAAAGTTATTAGCATCCCGGACAGAGACAGACAGACAGACCAGAACACGGTGTGGCTCTAAGGAGAAGCCCCAGAACCAGAGACAGACCATAAATGGGGGGTCTGAAGAGAGGACTCAGGGCCCACATGGTAGAAGAAGCATGGGCCTGCTACCGGGCTCTCTGAATCACAGGCAGGAGTCAGGGATGTGTGTATACCGCCAATACCCACTTCGATGTTAGTGCATGTCTCGGTGTGAGAATCCCCAGGACCTGAAAGCCTGCTAGCTAGGGACTGAGAAGCCGTGCCCTCAGGAGGCATCTCTCAGTGTCTGCGGGAAGGAAAAGGCTGCTACTTGCGGGTATTGTAACCTGAGCAGCAATTCTGGTCTGGTCTGCCCTAACCACCTGCTCCTGACCCATGCAAGAAATCAGGGTAGTAGCTCTCCATCTATCTCTCTGCTCTGTAGCACACAGTTCTAACCAAGACCAGCTTGGGTGGGACAGGAAGGTGAAGGGGATTTGACTCTGCCCTTGACTGTCTCAGCAGCTCTCAAATGCAGGTGTCATGGCCTTGAGGAGTATTAAGAGGACAGGACAGGTTAGGTCCACAGGACCCCTTCAAGGTCCCCTGGCATTCCAGGCTCAGGTGCCTTGATGCTAACTAAATGATGAGACTCTCTCTTTAATAACACCCACACACAGGGAGGATGGTCCTGCTTCTCAGGGTACATGGGGAAGAGTTTGCCCTGCAGAACCATCTCACAGATGAAGAGAGTGGGATCTGGAGAACCATGGCTGTCATAGGCACTCTGTACTACCACAGAAGAGTAGCATGAGAAACAGTTCCTTTGTGGGTGCAGAGACCAGCATGGGGTCAAAGGCAGGGCTGAGAGCATCCTGTGGATGGCAGAAGGGGGGGTCTGGGAGGCTCGGGTGGCCAGCCCCAGCAGCTGGGAATTAGTGGTAACATTTCATGCTTCTCTGGCTGTTTCTAAACTAGGTGTCAATTCACAACAGGCTTCAAACGTCCCAGCACAGCCCCAGGTTGGGGGTCGAGAGGGGAGCGCCAGCACCATCACCACCAACATCACCACCACCGTTGCCGCCAGACCCACAGCCTAGCCCCCTGAGGGAGCAGCCCCCACCGCTGCCACTGCCGCCACCCACACCCCCAGGCACCCTGGTGCAGTGCCAGCAAATTGTCAAGGTCATTGTCCTGGACAAACCATGCTTGGCCCGCATGGAGCCCCTGCTGAGCCAGGCTCTGTCCTGCTATGCCTCATCCTCCTCAGACTCCTGTGGCTCCACACCCTTGCGGGGTCCAGGATCCCCAGTTAAGGTCATCCACCAGCCTCCACTGCCCCCACCGCCACCCCCATACAACCACCCTCATCAGTTCTGCCCGCCAGGCTCTCTGCTGCTCCGTCGCCGCTATTCCAGTGGCTCAAGGAGCCTGGTGTAGGCTCTGCCCTTAGCAACCAGCTGTTCCAATGGGCTGTCCTTCAGGAATCTGGGCTGCCCCTTGCCACTCCTCACGTCTTAGCATAATGCCTTCCTGGCCACTGATCACTGTTGTGGAAAGGGAGTGCCCCTGGCAAGATGGTTTGCTTCACTAAATTGCTTTAGTACTTTGCCACAAACATGTAACACCACCTCACTCTTCCTAGGGGTCCCACATAGCCAGATGGGCCATGCCTTTACCTCTGTGTTCACCATGCTCCCCTAACAAGACTGTAGAAGGAAACTATATGAAGGAAACTGAAGCCAAAGGGCCTGTGGGCTGATGGGCTTGCAGTCTTGGTCTATTAGTCCATGCCTTCGGCCAATAGACAAGAGCAAAAGGCTGAACTTGCCAGCAACACACCCCAGGACAGGGCAGGCTATCCTAGCATAATGTGCCATCTATGGCCAAGCTGAAGAAAGGAAAGCTAGCCCTGGTTCCCTGGAGGGACCTGAGATTAACAGGGAGGGTGCTTGGTCTGCTCTTCCTGTCATCCAACCCGTAGTTGGGGGCCTGGTTCTCAGCTCCCAGGGACATTATCTCCCTTAAACCACCCCAAGAATTGTCTCCTGCCACCCCAAAAGTTCTGAGCTACCCAGATCCAGGAAAGATCCAAGAAAGAGGAGGGGGCAGGGTATTTAGTTCTGCCTGGGTCAGTGCAGCACGGCCCTGGGAGGTCCTATCTGCAAAGCTCGCTTTCTGAAAGCATTTCTCGGTTCTCCTGCCTCAAACATTTAGCCAGTACCAAATGCACACAGGCAGTTATCCATAAACACACGTGAGAACCGAGTTGATTTCACTTCCTTGTGGAACCAGAAGCAAGGGGATGGGCTGCCAGTCCGCCCAGCGGAGGTGTGACTCGGCCTGGAGTCAGGGCTTCCTGGCGTCTGACCGCAGCCTCTGTGCACAGACAAGGCAAAGCAGTAGGGACCTAGGGTCACTGTGTCACCCTGCTGCCCTAGCCTTGAAACAGTCCCTTCCTGGCAAATGCAGACTGGCTCCCAGCAGGGAAGGCCGAGAGTTCCAGGACATTCAAAACTGCAGAGCAGAGCCAAGCAGGGCCCATCAGACTTCCAGGCCTGCCAGGACCAGAATCAGCACAGATAGCCCTGGCCCTCCAGAGCCTCGGACAGATGAGGCATCCCCGAAGACCACAGGAAGGGGGGTGTCATAGGATGTCACATTCATGGCATCTTCAGGGACCATCTGTCACAAGCCAGGCCAGCCTCCTTTGTCCTGTGCCAACAGCTATTCCTGACCTTCCTCAAGACGCTATCCCAGTCAGAGCCTGTTTTTAAAGTTTTAAAGAGAGGAGAGAAGCACAGTGAATGCTGCCATGGTTGGAAGTGACTTGGCTTCTTCTGGTCCCTACTATACACTCCAAAACTCAATGCTTTGGACCAGATAGGAGGCAGAAGTAACCCAGACTCTTAGAGGGACCAAATGACCTCATTTCGTGCACATGCATGTAAGTTTATGGTTCGTGCGTGAGTGCCTGTGTGTATCCTCACCCAGAGGTCATTGTGATATCACCCAGGGAGCTTCTGGCCCATTCCTGTAACTCTTGGCCAATAATGCTCTCTCCCCAGGGACTCCCAGCCTGTGATTTTTCTGAGTTGGCTGCCTTGGGTCCCTCCGTGGAACACCTGTATTTCAGAAAATAATCAGAACCTGTCGGAGTGGAACAGCTTAGACACCTCCCCCAGCTGGGCCAGGGCAGAAAGGGTTAGGGCTTGGGGAAAGCACAGAGCTTCGGGTGGGACAGGATGAAGGAGAGGGCTGAAAATAGAGGGAAATTCATGACTAGTAGGGAGGAAAGATGTGAGTTACAGCCCTGGAGAGCTCACTTCCCTTTGCCGAGTCCTGCTCCCTGCTCACACCTGGCTTCACGCTAACAACACCCTCTGTCCCTCCAGCCTCAGCTGAAGCCTGACTTTCCAGATGAGCTCCTGCCTCAGCAGCAGTCTGGAGGCTGGCCTGCATGGGCAGGCTCTGGGGGCCCAGATTCTCAGGCATCATGCACCTTTCTCCAGGGCGAGGTTGCTACAGTAGCTGACCTAGACCCTGCTAGCAGGAGCAGAGCCCTGCACAGGAAGTCACACTGCTCGGGGCCACAAACTAGAACAGTCCTGAGCTGGCTTTGAGCCCCAGTAGCTCAGGGCAGGGAGGAACTGATGGACCTTACTGGTCAGGCAAAGTTAGAGTCCCCAGCTTGGGTTGTATTTCTCCCCTGACCGGACAACCTTCAAATGGTAGGATTCATCTGTATCTCAGTCCCCAGAAAGCTGGAAGCAGCCTCCTGCCCCTTCCCATGGTAGTGGCAATGTCAGGGCCTGCATTTCTTTCCAGAAAGAGGCTCTTGAGACTCCAGTTGTCTCAAAATTAAGGGAGCAGTGGAGTGCTAGCTGAGCTCCCAGATCCAAGCACTCTGAGATACCCTCATCCATCAGCTTTCTAGGCCTTACTTTGGGGATCCCGGGCCCCTCTCCCAATGTATCCATTTGGCCCCAAGTCCAGAATCAAACAATCAAATGGGTGGCGGAAGCACCTTTCCTACCTGCCTTTAGCCACTCCCACCTCCAGTTCGAATGCAGGCCCTGTCTTGGCAACCTTTCCTGGAAACCAACCTGTCTGTCTTTTCGTCCGCAAAGATGTTTTGCTCCCACAAATATGTATCGGTCCTGGGTCTTTGATCCCCCACTCAACCTGTCCAGAGCCTGCCAGAATGTCTCTGTGACCCAGTAGGGGTTCCTGATGTCATTCATCTGTCTGTCTCGGCATCAGCTGTCCATCTTCCTGCGGTACCTCTCCTCCCTGCTCACCCTCACCGGATGGAGTGGCAGTTCTCTGGAGACAGGCAGGGTGGCTGCACTCAGCAACTAATCCAAATGGCAAATATTTTGTAACAAAATAGCCCAGAGGTATTTTATCTGTTCAATTCATAGAGTTTTAGAGATTCTATTGAAATGTGTCACTTGAGCAAACTTGTGTCTGTCTGTTGTTTCTTTCACTCTCACAGGGTGGGGGGGAGGCATGGGGGCGGGACCACCTTACATTAGAATGTCTCCCTTGCCAGGATCTAGAAAGACAATATGCTGGCTCTCAGCCCCTGGGGCTACCCAGCTTCCCTCTGGCTATCACAGTCATTCTTTCCCCGGGATAGACCATGCCTTATGGTGTAACTCCATTAGGAAGTCCCATCTTAAGAAATTGAAGTTCAAGTGCTGGAATAAGGAATAGACCTCTGGTGGGTGAGTACTGGAGCAGAGCTGAGGTGGGTCAGAAAATGGCTCTGCAAATGCAGCCTGCCTCCGTCGTGTGCATTCAGTGGAGAGCAAAAGCCTAGCTTATCCGCTTCTGATTATCACTAACATTCACACCCAAAGCTTGACATGTAAGGGGTGGCAAAGCCAGGATAACAGGCTTGGGTGGAGGAGCTGCGGGATAATGTCAGGGAAAGAGCTGCCTTAGTAGCGGGACAATAGTTCTAAAGCCCTTCCATGCGCCAAGTCCCCCTGCTGGAAGTAGAAAAGGAACCCAAGGTTTTGGAAGGAGTAAGACAACAGCCAAGTGGTTATGAGATGGGTTCAGAGACGGACATAGTGGCTTGCTCCTATGATCCCAGCACCCAGGAGGCTGTGAATTTGAGACCTACCTGGGATACACAGTCCCATGCCGGCCAGAAACATATGACAAAAGACTGTGTGAAGACACAAAACAGAAAGATGTGTCTAGGAGGCTGGAATAAGAGCAGAAGAGAGAAGGGCTTATATGGGTAGTCAAAGCTAAGGACACTGATCAGATCAGATCAGTAGACAAGGCAGGAGGTTGCCAGAGGTGACTGTCCTGGCAGGGCCAGAAGGAAGGATCTCAGCCATGCAGCTGAGACTCTTCTGAGGAGGAAAATGATAGGTACCTACAAAAAAGATGCCCAGCTCCCCAGGTGACCAGAATCCTGAGGACCTACACATCCAACCAGCTCCACAGGCTGTTTCTGAAGTCCTCTGTTAAAACCTTGGGAACGTAAGTTCACCCTTGCCCAGGAAGTGGGAAATTCCAGAAGAAGCAGATACCAGCTGGGAACTGTCCCATCCTGGGAATTCTCTGACCCCAAAAGCAGAAGACTGGCCCCTTGAGAGCACCCTTGAGGAGATAAGCTAGAGCTTATCTGGAAGAAAGCCTAAGGCCAAGAGGACCCCAGGACCAGTGATGCAATCAGGCCAGCAGGCAGCTCCAATCTCCCAACATTCTCATCCTTGCAGTGTAGTCCAGGAGAAAGGGCACCCTCCAGGAAAAACAAAAAAAAGGAGACCAAAATGTTCTAATGGAGACTTTGTGTCCATCTGACATAGGTCAGTGCCCTTGGTGATATTTTGTAGATGGAGGACTCATTCATTGGTGACTGACTTAGAAATTTTCCAGAGGTCCCAGAATGTACAAGTTTCTGACTCACAGCACTGGTCCAGAATCAGATGCTGGTGCCAGAGCTGGTGAAGTAAGCTTGCCCACAGCTGACAGCACTGGCAGGAATAAAACATCACTACACACAAAGCTCTGCTCACAAGCGAAAGCCCACAGGAACAAGAAAGGCCCAGCTGTATCTATATCTACACAGTGTGGTGACAGGGGAGGGGTGATGAAGACAGGTGCTGAAGTGGGTATTCAAAGAGAGAATGTCCCGAACGGCATTTCATCCAGGTCAAGGTCCGAGAAGCCGTATCTACAAGGTAGGGTAGATGCAGCTTTTTGAGATGATCTGCCAAAGGACTATGAGAGAGAGAGAGAGAGAGAGAGAGAGAACCTCGCCAGAAAAATCATAAAACTGGCCTTCTAGAATATCCAGATCAGATGACTGCCAGAAACTGAGACCAAAGAAATGAAGGCCTGACAGTGGGCAGGCAGATAGCTCTGAAGAAGCAAAGCCAGGGAATGAGGGTCTGTGGGACTGCCCCTGTGGAGGTGCGAGGCAGAGCAGGACAAATTTTCATGAGTCTGACACCTGACAACAGAGAGTCCTCTTGAAAGCAGCGCTCCCTGGAGCTCCCTCGGATGTCCACAGCCGTTCTTTCTGGGCAAACGTCCAACCCTGACAGCCTGCCAAGTAACTTGTCCACTGGGCCCCTTCATTTACCTCCCCCTAACTCCTTCCTCTGACACACAGGCTCTCATGGCAGGTGAGGTTCCAGCTGTGGATGAGGAGTGAGGAGACACTATGAGAACAGCCAGCCTATCATAGGGTACACGCGTATGACTCTCTGAAACAAGGTCTGTTCCACATCCCTCCAAGCAGACCTGCAGTCCTCTCTCCTGGGAAGAGGCCCAGGACAGAGCCCAAGAACCAAAGTATGTTCATAGTCTTTATTGTTCTCCTGTTCTTCCTAGGTAGGCAGCCAGGCCCAGAGCTAGGCGTCTGGAAGCAAGGGGGTGAAATGATCAGGGATTGGGGAAGGGGCAGGTTCAGAACTGGTCCCATCAAGACAGCTCCTTCCTGGATTAGGCCAGAGGATACAGGCACTGGAGATAAGCAGGAAGGATGGAAATTCTTCCCAACCCCGCCCCCACCCATCCACCCCCAATGGGTCTGTGCACTTTGCTCCCTAGAGATCCAGCTAGCCCCTTGCCATTCAGGGCTTCCTGCTCTCACGACCTCAGGCCTGAGTGACCTCAGGCCCAAGCCAGACTGTGGGAAAATCATGGCTAGCTGCTGAGAAGGCTAGAGACTCTACTCCCTCCTCCTACCTGCTCCCCCATTTCAAGCCTCCTAGGCAGACGTGCCTTATTCTCCTTTCCAAAGAGCCTCATCTCCTTTGCCTTCAAGACATCTGGGCTCTGCATCACTTGGGACATAGAAGAGGGGGTGACAGAGCCTTGTCCCCTTTCACAGGATGCACAGGATCCTCAAGGCTACTTACTTCAGCTAACTAGTATCTATCCCTCTTCCGGGTGCAGAGATATCTAGTTTCAGGAGTTGGAGAAAGAACAACTGAACTGTCCAGAAAAACAAGTAGAAGGAAAGAAATAAGAAAGACAGAGGGAAAGACGAAATAGAAAACACGTGCACAACAGAAAGAGTGATAGAACGTAAACCCATGACTATTGCAACGTCTAATATCCAGCAGAGCCAGGGATGGCAGTGTATGCCATCCATCCCAGGACCTCTTGGAAGGCTGAAACATGAGATTTGTGAGTTCAAGGACAGCCTGGGCTACACAGGAAGGCCCTTTCTCAAAAAACCAAAAGTTTTTCTCACAACCCAGCCATCTTAGTTAGGGGGCCATTCTTATACCTAAAGCAGAGAGATGGCGGCCTCAAAGAAAGCCAACTCTCTCTGGAGATGATCACCTCTACGCCCCAAGTTATGAAAAGTGGAAAGCAACAAGCAGCTTTGAAGATGATCACAGAGGGCAGGGCACAAGGGTCCGTCCCCACCAACTGCCCAGCTCTGAGAAGGTTGAAACAGAATACCACAAGAGATCGGCCAAAGCTATTGCCCATCAACACAGCATTGAATTGGGCACAGTGTGCCAAGAATACTATAGTGCGTGCGCATGGCTGCCATTGATCTGGAGGCTTCTGATATTAGAAGCGTGCCAGCACAGACTGAAGAAAAGTAAAGCAGGAGAAATTTTTCTTTAGTAAAACTTGCCAGAGTTTGTTTAAATAAATAAATAAGGAAAGAGAGAGGAAAAAGAAAGCTTGAGGTATATGATAATGACGTTTTGTTAAAGCCTGTACACATACTCCCACAAACCTCTATGTGACGCTGGGTCCGGTGACTGACTACGCTCTGTGTACACTCAGGGAACAGAGACTGCTAATCTCACAGGAACTCCTTCGGAAGAGACAAAACTATTCCCAGCCTCCTCATGTGTAAGTCCAGCACAACCTTAAAAGCAAAAAGACCCCTCTCCCCACTGCTGATAAGGACAGTTTGGAAAGGAGAAGGCAGGGGCCAATTTAGCCTTATGAGCCTGCATAGAGGAATTATACACAAAATAAAAACAAACAGAACGTGGCATCAAGTGATAAAAAAAAAAAAAGAACAGCATTCTGTGATCAAGGTGGGTTTGTCCCAGACCTAGAAAGATAGCTTAGCATTAGAAAAATCTATTTGTAAACTTCAGCATGATGTTCAGTAAAAGAACCATCCTGTGATCAGTCCAATAGATGCAGGGGGAAAAAAAGACAAAAGTTAAAAATCGGCTCTTCTTTTTCTGTTTTCTTTTGGCTTTTGATTTTTGAGACAGGCTGTCACCACGCAGTCCCACTGGCCTTGAACCCATGATCCTCCTGCTTCAACATACTAATTGCTGCACCTCCATACCCAGCTCAACCCTTACTACTAATTTCAAATAAAACAAACTCAGAGCCAACGAAACCTCATCACTTAATAAACGCCGTCCATCAAGCATTCGCATTAACAGTCTCAGTTAGTGCAATGTTGAGATTTTTGTCAAAACTGGGAAGGAGGCAGGATTCCGCCTGCCACCAGTTCTAGCCACACGGTGATGGAAGACAAGAGAAAGAAATAAGGAAGAGTGACTGGGGAAAACATCTTGTTCCAGACAGACAAACTGCCTGTGCGAAAAGCCCAGAAGAATCAGGCGGAGGCTACAATAAGGCGAGAGAACTCAGATCTCTTGATGGCTGGCTGCTCCCAGGCTGTCCTGACAGCCCGTGTGTCCCCTGAGACCATTCTCTCAAGGTAGATCAGTCGCCCCCTCCCCTGTAGATGGCTGACCCAACAGGGATAATACGAGGACCCTTTGTTTACTCCCATGGACAAACATCCTGCCAGACCAGGTCTGCCCCAGTGATGAGGGGTGGCTATGGGATCTGGCCTCAGGGCCAGCCCTTGGGTGTCTGTCCTCACTCTGCTGAGACTGAAGTGAACAAAGCAAGCCTCACAATGTGTCTGTCTCAGTCCTGGCAGATTCTTGTCACAGCAGTGGGAAAGGACACTGATCCTACGGATAGACCTGGCCACGGAGGGCTTGGGCTTTGATATCCAGTCTGTCTGTGGCAGTTCTATGCTTAGCTGTGTGGCCTATAGATAGGCTCCTCAGACCAGATGGGAGACCCAAGCCCACTTATCACGTGAGCTGGGATCAGGATGCTGGGCCTGGGGCATCGGCCCACCTCAGCCGGGCTCCCGCCGATTGTGTTTGTTTCCCAAACATGTATGTCCTTCTCGACCTCTCTCCATGGGTGGTTAACAAGCTTTTCATCCCTGTCAGATCCAATCGGCCCTTGTTACTTCACTGAGCAGCTAAATCAACAAGGAAGCCATGTGGATTCGGTCGCCAGGGATCTAGACATGAGAGCAGAGAGAGTGGCAGAGGCAAAGGCAGCCAGCCCCTCAGAGTGAGGAGCAGAAAGGAAGTGAGTCACAGAGCCCTGGAGATACCCAAGAAGGTGAGGACAAAGGAGAGGCCAAGGATACAGACAGGAAGAGCAAAAAAGAGCCACTGTTTTCTTAAGAGGGAGTGTCCACACAGACAGTTCACCTTCCATGGTCCAGGTGGCAGAGCTGAGTGCCAGCTAGGCACTTGACCTGATTTCTAAGAGTGTTCTCTAGGTTATACCAGAAAAAAAGATGGGGGATGGGCAGTGGGAGAGGGGGGCATTGTTCTGCTTTCCTCTGCCACCAGGGGACAGAAAAGAGCTCCATACCGACCCTACAGCAGGAGCCTGAACTCTAAGACTTCTAAGAATTCCTCTCTTGGACTTCCTATTTTTCTCACTAGCTGGTCCAATAAGGATTAGCAAGGCACACACAGTAGCGTAGAAAGAGACAGAAGGGGCTGCCAGGAGCCAGGGCAGCTAAAGTACTTGGAGTCAGAGGTGTTCTTTCTCAAGAGGAGAAGCCTTTCAGACCTGGGTGACAGCAGGGAGGCATGGAGGCTATCTGAATGGAAGCCACATGGGTCAGGCCGTGGACTGTTCTTCTGGCCGCTGGGCATTATCTCTGCGTGACGTTTACCTGTGTATCCTTTCTCAGGGGTGTGCCCAGGACGGTGTCCTCAGTACCCTAGTCCCTCCCCACCCTTCTCTTCTAAAGGCCCACCACAAACTCATCCACAACCTGGAACCCTCAGGAGCCTGAGTCTGCATGTTGTATGATTTGGCAAGTGTGAAGGAATGGTTGGGAAGGGCCCAGAGGGAAAGCAAAAAGGAGAGAGAGAGGACAGCGCTGGGATGAGAAGGCTGAGAGCTGGGGGAGAAGTCTGGTAGACAGAGGCTGGAAGGAAACTTAACAAGGCACATCCCCATCCCTGGGCGCCTGTCGGGAGGTGACCTCCCACCCGTGAACAGCTGGAGTGGAGAGAGACAAGGAAGAGGCACGCGTGCAGGATCGGGTATTCTGTAAAGGCTTGTTATGGAGGCAAGGGAGAGGCTGAAGGCCCAAGAGCCTCAGCAAAGAGCAGCAAAGTCCGAGGAGGCTCTTGGGCTCTGCAGAGCATCACTCTGCCTGTCCAGCTCTTGGTTTCTTAATCCAAGAAGTCGGGGTTTTGAGTACAAAGAACATGGCAAACACAGCTTCCTGGAGCACGGTTGGGAAGGACTGAGAGGTTGGCCAGCCATTCCAGCTGCACAGAAAAGTGGCTCCCGGAAGGGCTTTTCCAGAGACCTCGAAGGCCTCAGCAGGACGGAGCAGAGGTTATCCCTGGGTGGAAGTAGCCTTGACCAGGTTCCTGGCTCTGGAACCACCTGGCCTCTGGCGCTTCCTACAAGTGTGTCTCCTTCTCCCAGGCAGTGAGCTCTTGCTTGGCAGGAGAGGAAGAACAGTTTTGAGCAGGGGAGCCGTCCCGAGGTGGACGCTGCTGTGGCTGGGGCAGACTCGGGTCCGGTGTGATGAGTATTTGAAGGCGCTGTGGAGAAGAGCAGCAGGGGGTAAATAAATGAAGGGGTGAGCGGGTGAGCGGGTGAGCGGGTGAGCAGGTGAGCGGGAGGACGCCCTCTGTGGTTGTGTCCCCAGAAACAAGGCCGGGCGCTCATGGCTGAATGCAGAACGGTTCTGAGATGAAGGTGGGAAATGAGAAGTAATTAAGAGTGCAAACTCAGCCCGGCGTGGTAGCACACACCTGTAATCCCTGCACTAGGGAAGGCAGAGGTAGGCGGATCTCTGTGAGTTCCTGGCCAGCCTGGTCTACTGAGTGAATCCAGGACAGCCAAGGCTACACAGAGAAACACTGTCTCCAAAATTCATACTCTCTTTTTTTTTTTTTTTTTTTTTGAGACAGAGTATGAATTCCCGGTTTTCCGGTTCTAACTAGAACAATCTCAGGTAACTCACCTAACTCTTCTATCCCATCAGTCCCCTCACTTTCCTAATCCATGAAATAGGGGTAACAACACACCTAATGGGACAGTTCCTTGGCCCAGGACAGGTGATAAGTGCCATGACTGTCCTCACTACCCTTCTAATGACCATTGTTATATGCCCCCTTAAGTATTTTCCAGTTATCCCCCATCTCTGACCTTGCTGATATGTATTCGTATAGCAAGAATTCAAAAAGCCCATTCAGTTAAAGCACTGTAGACACTTCTCTATTACTACTGAAGAGTCTGACTTTGACAGACAAAATTAGTATCTTTATGGGCCATTGGCAGTGACTTCCTCCAGGAAGACATACCCCAAACTACACAGGAGCCACCGGCTGGGCCCCAGCTGGGGCTATGATAAGCAAAGAAACTAGGAGCCAGGGTGCGCTTGGCAGTTTTCCCAAGCCAGGATCTATATGTGTTCTTTAGCCCTTCTGCATCTGACCCCATTTGAACCTTGTTTTTCCCTTAACCATTAAGCAGCGTGTGGCTAGCTGGCCTTCGAGGTCAGCCTGAGGTCAGATTCTATGAACTTGGGACTCCGGAGGCCTGATCTTCAAAGGTCTCAAAGACCTCCATGTAGTCTCAGGGCTTTCTTCTATAGGGAGCTGACATGGGCCCCTCGCCTAAGCCTCTGTCAGGGGCCTCCTTCACTGGGTCACCTCCATGGCCACCTACCTTCTTGAAGGAACCCTGGGTCTTCAGGAGGGTGATGATGATGAAGAGTGGGACACAGCCCATGGAGGAGAAAGCCAAGAGCCATCCAATGGAGTATCCCCAAGAAGGGTACGTATAGACATTGTTGTATTGGAGAGGTGTGTACTTGCTCAAGGAGAAGATGAAGGTGGCCTAAAAGGGAGAGGCGTGGGATGATACAAGAGCCACCCAGAGTTCCTCCCTGGCTATACCAACAGCTAAGGGCCGAGGATCACCCACCCACTCTGACAGGCATCTGAGGTAGGACAGTGCTGCTGATCCGTCAGTCACAGCGACTGAGGCAGATGACGAGCATGGGGTTTAAGGAGCTCAAGACAGACAGGAAGAGGTCTGTCAGGGGAAAGTAAGGCTGTGGAGGAGGGAGAGCTGAGGCAGAAGGGAGACTAAATGAAGACAAGTGGATGAGAGGCCCAGGAGAGAAGGGAGAGAGAGGGACCAGCACCTCTGCTCAGGCAGGAAAGAGCCCCCAGGTACCAAGTCCTCCTCAGACAAGGGGGAGAAGGGGTGGTGAGAAGGTGCATACCAGGCAAAGGCCAGGGGTCAGGAAGAGCCAGGAGATCTTCACCAAGGGCCACGGCCGGTAGCCAATCATGTCCTCTACGTTGTCATAGAAACGGTCCGCCCCTGGGCCAGGATAGAAATGGTAACACCTTAAGGAGATGCAGACTGGACGTGACGGTGGCGGTGGAGGTGGCGGCGGCAGAAGCTGCTGCCCACCAGCTGTTGGAGCAACCTCTGCTGTCCTGTCTAAGGATGAATAGAGCCGTGCTCCTGATTCTAGACCCGTGACTTCCTCACACTGGGCACTGTCGGGTCGGTTTGCGCCTAGTGAAGACGCTCACTGGCTTTGCTTATGTCAGCTTTCACCCTGGCCCTCGTTTCAGGCAGGACCAGGATCTCCTTGGATGTGACAGTCTATTCACCGGTGGCCACGTCTAGGGGCCTCCTCTAACCCCAGCTCACTGCCTTCCCACTGATCACTGGCATATGAATGCCAAGCTTTAACGGGCCACAGCTTTGACTTCTGAAGACCAAAGTTCCAAGCCCAACGTTGCCAGGAGGTGTGTCCAGCCCCTGGACTGAGTTTATTGGTGCCTTTGAGAACAAAAGTTGCAGGAGAATCAGGCAGATATCTAACACTTAAGGTGGGAGGAGGAACAGGCTCCAATGACAGGAAAGGACACCATAGGAAGGCCAGGGTTGTGAAGTGAGTACCTTCCTGGCTTCCTCTGAGACCCTAATATGAGGTGTCTACTCATTCTCTCTGTTCCAGGCCTGGTGACATTAGCATGTTGTCCCCAACCTGTTGCCAAGCAGCCCACAGACCAGAATCAGAGATGGCTTTTCCATTTAGTGATTGTGCAAGAGCTTAGGCAAAAAATAAATAAATAAATAAATAAAGGCCGAGATGCAGGTCTTGAAATGGCATGTGACCTGCCCAGGGCAGTGCCTGGAACCTCAGCTATCACCAAGCATTACAATGGCTTAGACACTGAGCACTGGGATTGCTACTGCTGTGGGGCCCAAGCCATCCCTGGAAGTCAGGACAGGACAGAATCCTCCTCCCTGCAAGAAAGCAGTGCCTAATGTGTTCAGTGTTCCACAGTGTTCCAAGCCTATATACCTGGCTTGGCTGTTGGAAAAGCAAGGAGGAAGCTGAGGGTGGGTGTTGGGAGGAGGTGTCAAGCCAAATGGCCCTAAAGGTCCCCTCTGACTGGGATTCCACCGATAAAGAAAGCCTGTTTTGTCCTCCCCTTAACTCTCAGAGAGACACCGGGCCTCCAAGCATGTCTGACACTCCTAGCAAAAGCAATCAGTCCAGACAAACAGACCAAGACTTCCATCCTGGATGGATCCTGCCCTCCTCAGCCCTGGGGCATCTTGTTCCTGCTCTGCAGCCCCCTGCCCCACTTACCATACACCCAGCCGATGCAGACCACCTCGAACAAGGAGAGGAAGAGCAGGCATATGCCGCTAGAGGCATAGTAGTCAAAGAGCTGGAAGATATACATCCCGCCCTGTGGAGAAGGAGGAAGCTAAGGCCTGGGCAAGGCCAGCACCTGCCCCTATAGGGAGGTGTGCTGCCCTGCCCTGCCCTGCCCTGCCCTGCTCAGGAGAAACCTGTTACAGGAGTCGGCTCGGCCTAGTTCTGCCATCAGGAACTACCGTCAGCCTCGGGACAATCATTTCTGATACCCCAAGGCGCTGGGGGTAAGGGACCAGTGGTAGTGTGTTATAGCTCAGTATCCCCTCTTGGTGGAACTAGCACCCCTCACTCCATTTTTTTTGGGGGGGCGCAAGGTTATGGCAGTCCTCTCCCATGTTGTAAGCCTAAGGAAGGGTCTCAGCCTGAGCACCTGTCAGACTCAAGAGAAAGCCTGCTTGGCGGAATGGGGAAAGGTACCAGGAGCAGAAACAGCCTTGCCTGATACCATGTAGGGAGATCTGCCTAGGGGCCAAGCGACCTGAGGAAAGGGAGGTGGGGCTCATGCCCAACGGTGCTACAGGTAGAGTCATGCCAAAACAGCGGCAGACTCTGCTGTCACCCGGCCCCATTCAGACTCCCTTGGTGTTTAGGGCATTTGTGCGTGGCTCCCATCACCCAGCACTTAGATTCCAGTGAGTGGGACCTTCAGCCTCACTCCTGGACAGAAAGAAGGAAGGAAAGGTTCTGAAGGGTCAGCAGCCCCCCCCCCCCCACTGTCCTCTCACCTCAGTGACCAGAAGAAGCCCCATCAAGTAGCAAACAATAGCCACAGCCAGGATCAGCAGCTCCCTGCGGCCTCTCTTCCGGAGCTGCTGAGGGAACATGTCCATAGAGGCGGTCACCAGGCACTCCATACAGACGAACTGTGAGCCAAGAGATAGCTGTGAGGCCAAGGCACAGGCCTTGCCCGGCTCTGCCCCCCGCCCCACAACCCTGCCATGCATCACTCTATTTGTCTACGCTGACGTGGGGGAAGGGGCAATGAGGAGCCAACCCTGTCCTGGGCTACAACTTCATATCCCAGGAATCCCATTCGGGAGGGTTGGGAGGGGGAGGGACTGGACCACGAGTCTGGTGATGAGTACGCGTCTATGGAGCAGACTGGCAGCCCTTTCACAGCTGGGGCTCTGGAGGCCTGGGAGCACCCATCAGAACACCAGGGGAAAGACCCAAACCACAGTGAGGGAGGCCTCTGGGGCGTGGTGGGGAGAAGGCGTGTGAGGAGAAGTGCAGAGGCGGAAAGAGGGACCCCCAGACAAGGGTGCCATACCTGGCTATCCAGCCCTAGAAAGAGGAGCATGATGAAGAAAAGGCAGGACCACAGCTGGGACAGAGGCATCATTGTCACGGCTTTGGGGAAGGCTATGAAGGCCAGCCCGGGACCTGCCAAGCACACAATACAGCTATGTGAACTCCAGACCACTCACTACCTGAAGAGAGGCCCTCTCCCTAGCACAACATGCACCCAGGAGTGTGTGGGGACAACTGTGTGCACCTTGGCTTGCCTGTGAGTGCCCATGAGTGCCCATGAGTGTCTGTGTGCCGTTAGCATCTATGTGTGTCCATGGGCGTCTGTGTCTGTAAACACAAGCGTCTGTGGTCACCTGTGAAAGCCCGTGTGCCGCTCTGAGCGCCTGTCTCCGAGTGTTTGTGTCTGTGAATATCTGTAGGGCCTGCGAGATTCTATGCACGTCTGTTAGCGTCGGCATACACCTGCTAGTGTTTGTATAAGCCTTGAGTTTATGCGAGGATCACTGTATCTGTGAGCATCTATGAGGGTGGATTCCTGTGATTTCTATGTGCTTCTGTGCTCATTTATGAATGTCTGAGTGTGTGAGTGTGTGTGTGTGTGTGTGTGTGTGTGTGTGTGTGTGTGAATTTATACATATGATTTTTTGTGAATGACTAATCACATCTGTGTGCTTGTGCCTGTGAGCACCTGTGTGTGGACTTCTGTGATCTTCTATGTGTGTCTCCGTGTGTCTGTATCTGTGAACGTCTGTGAGTCCTGAGCATTTTTGAGTACCCACATGAGAATATGTTTGTGAGCAGATTTGTGTGCCTGTAAGCATCTGGTGTAACTGTGGGCCTCTATGTAAGCATGTGGGTGGGCAGGGCTGTTTAAAGAAAACAAGTAATTCCATTCTGTGTGTGTTCTTCCTTGGGACTAACCTTCAGGTAAGCTTACACACACACACACACACACACACACACACACACACACGCACACATACAGATTCTAATCTGATTCTCTCTCTCTTTTCCTCTCTTCCTATCTCCCTCCCTCCCTTCCTCTTCTGCTTTCTTCCCTTCTCCTTGCTTATCTTCTCTCACGGTTCTAAAAGCTTTGTTGATGCACAACCCCTCAAGCTAAAAAGGCCTTTTGTCCTGGTTTTGTGATTCCCCCTTCTCATCAGGAGGGCTCTGTCCTCCAACTTTCCCTCCTGGCCTCTCAAGCAGCCCGTGGAGAGTGTCTCCTACCTGACTCAGCCACTTCAGAAATGGGTATCCCCTGTTCTTGAGACATGAAGCCCAGGATGGAGAAGACGACAAACCCAGCCACGAAGCTGGTAGCACTGTTCAGGAAGCAGAGGGCGATGGAGTCCCTGGGGGAATAAATAAAGTCAGACAGAGATGGGGAAGAGAAGATAAAGGAGAAGAGAAAAGGCAGTCCAAGAAGGACAGACCAAAAGATAGAAGGGAAAGGAGAAAAAAGAGGAATGGAAAAACACAGAAGAAAAAAAAAGCAAGAAAAAAAAAAAAAAACAAGAGCGATATGGCACAGGTAAAGCAAACACCAGATGTCAGGGCAAGAGGAGGGGACCAGGAAAGGGGGAAAGAAACTGGGCCTCAGAAAGGTGTCCACACAGGCCCTGCTTAGCTCCCACAGAGGCAGGGTTGCCCTCCCCTGACACACCAGCGGCTCTCACCTATAGCAGTTGTTGTGGTACTTGTTGTAGCTGCCCAGGGCCGTCAGGCAGCCCTGGCAGATGGCAAAGGAGAAGAAGATCTGGGTGCCCGCATCCATCCACACCTACGTGAGGCCCAAGAAAGTGGTAGAGGCAGCCAGGGCCTAGAGCTCTGGCTAACAGAATGCAGCCCCTCACTAGAGCACAGCCCACCTCTTCATGTCCCACACAGACCACGCCTGCAGCCTCCTCTCCACATCCACCTTCTCACAGGCAGGACCCGTTTTCAGTTTGGCTCTGTGCATACTCAGAAAGCAGCAAATGCATGTGGGACTGCCCAGGCGTCCTCTACAGGCCCAGGCTGTCCCTGGACCTGATAAACTGAATTGTCTCTGGCATTCGTTCAGCCAGTGTGTCTGCATGGCACCTTTCGAACTGTGACCTGGGGCACAGGCTACCTCATAAAAATATAAAGAAATCCACCAAGACTTGGTGGAAGCAAAAAAAAAAAAGGGGGGGGAGGGGGCTTGGACAAGTCCTAGAGGAGGAAATGTAAATGGCCAATACATTCATGAGGAAATGCCCAGGGAAAAAAGCCAGGCGTGGTGATAAACATCTGTAAGCCCAGGGCCGATCCCGGGAGCACCCTAGCCAGGCAGCCGCTCCTGCCCAAGTCCCAGGCCAGCGAGAGACACACTGGGAACGGAGGGGTGGGGATGGGGAGTTAACCAACCCTCAGATGAAAAATATTCAGAAGAAAAAACCAATTGTACCTGTCCTAACAAGGACCAACCTTTTTTCTTAGCCCTGTCCCCTGTATGGACACGACAGAACAGCTGTTTAAATGCAGCTGACATGGTGGCATCACGAGCCATCTAGGGATGATTTAATGGATGTGATAGGATGGGCCCGGGTCAGACAAAACACTGAACCGTTCCTAACGAGAGACCCGAGAATCTGCGGGTGTGGTGTCGTGGATAACCGCCCTCAGATACTGACAGATCATGTATATTTGAAAGCAGACATCACCTCAGTGCCCGAGGCTGGGGTTCAGGGTTCAGCAGGGGAGGGACATGGCCCACTTTCTCCACCCTTCTAACCCCAGCGTCAGGCAGTAAGACGCTGTTAAGATGCCCTCCGGATATTTTTGTTGAATAAATTATGTTTGGAGGGGATATTCTACAGACGCTGAGATGGCATTTAAAGATAAACTTAATGGCACAGGGAAAGGCTTATAACACAATTTAAGTCAAAGGATCCATTTCTCTAAATAAAATTAGCTCAACTGTGTTAACACATCCACACCGCCTTGTAGGGGGGGGGGCGGGCGGAGGAAGTAGACGAAAAACGCTAATAGTGGTGGTGGGATTTCAAGCGACGCCCGTCCATTTTCTCCCAAATTCCTTCTATGATATCTAGTTCTTCTCTGGTACACATCTATTTCTCTCAAACCCAAGGAAAAGCAACAGGAGACTTTAAGAGTGCAGCAGAGTCTGGTGAGGACACATATCAGTTAAGGGGGGGGTCCCCTCGTGGTGCCCACCTGGGGGTCCTTGAGGCGGAGCAAGTCTGGCTTCAGGTAGAAGACGATGCCCTGGTAGGCTCCAGGCAGGGTGACACCCCGGATCAAGAGAATAACCAACATGAGGTAGGGGAAAGTGGCTGTGAAGTAAACAACCTGGGGGGAAAGCAGACCAAAGTCACTCCTGGCCTGGGTACACAGAGGCGGGAGGGGGGGCAGGGCACATCACTCCACATCCATCCCGGTTGCTCAGACCTCCCCGATTCATCCACACAGCCGATGGCGAGTGCATGAAACTTTCCACACCTCCCTTTACACATTCCAGCGGATCTTACTCCCCAGCAGAGTGTTGATACACATCGGCAGGGAGGAGAGGAGGGGAGCGCAAGTGGGGAAGACAGGGAAGACTGGGAGAAGCTCTCAGCCTACAACGTGAGAGGACTTTTAAGTACAGAACCTGGACCCCACCCACCACCCTGGGTACCCTCCCTGGAGCCCCTGAGTGTGGGCTCCTCTCCAGGAAGAAGGTGGCCAATTTCGCCTGGCAATCTGTGGGTGATCCAGATTGTACTTTTCCAGGCCCAGGTTGGGGCGGCAGCAGTGGCCAGAGCATCATAGAGACTCAAAAGGGACTCCATGCTGCCCTGTCAAGGTTGTATCTGCCTGGGCCATCATTCTTATCTTTCCTGTTGTTGCCCTTTTTTGACCACAACCCAGGGAAGGAGTATCACCATTTAGTTGTGAAACGTCTCCCGGGCAGGTTCACATGCTAAAAATCTTGGTTCCCAGCTAGTGGTGCTACACTAGGAAGTTGTGGGGCTTTTGGACAAGAACCTTAGCTGTGAGATGGACATTGTTACAACCCCAGCCCTGCTTCCCACCCGCACTCTCTGCCTCCTGTCAAGCACATTTCCTGGCAATGACCAGCAGCCTCAAGTTCCTGTCCTGATCCATCCTCCCTCAAACCCCACTCTGAAATCAATACGTCCTCCCTGAAGGAGCTCATTGCAGGCCCAAGGCCAATCCGAACACTCGTCACCTGCCAGTCTTGTCTTTGAAAAGCAGGAGGCATCATTCCTCCAAGTCAAGGGGACTGGAAATGATGCTCAGGTCTGAAATCTCACCCCATAACAAGCCCACTGCTGCCCATTCTTGGCTTAAACTCCTCCACTGATTGGCACTTACCCCCAAAGGCGGTTCTGTTTGCTAATACGCATGGGAACTCTTCATGTGTCATTTACATGCAACAGGTATGTCATAAGAACAAGAGACAGATACACACACGCAAAGGAGAGTAGGAGACACCACCACCCTATATTGCTGACAGCTTGGAAACCGATGAGCTTCAAAAGGGGGATCCTTACAGGTTTGTTTCGCTCTAAATATTACTTAGATAAACAGGTCTTGTGAAATCTTCTTAGGAAAATGTCTCCCCTTGTATCGAGCTCAATCCCCGTGTTCCTGCAACCTCACCTGTTCTTACAAAAATAGATCTTTCTTTCTGCTCTCCTGAGGGGCCCTTTCAGCTATCCCTGAGGACTCTGAGACTGTAGGTACTCACAAGGAGCTGGGACACCTCACCTTGCCCGTGGACTTGACCCCCTTCCAGATGCAGAAGTAGCAGATAATCCAGGCGAGCAGAAGGCACAAGGCCAGCTCCCAGCGCAGGGACCCCAGGTCATGGATGCCGGACGTAATGCCCAAAACCCGTCTCCTAAGGGATTGGGAAAAATAAGTAACCAGTTGAGAGACCAAAGGGGACAGTCTGCCTCCATCACCAAGTCTCCTGATTCAGACCTGACCCAACAGGTAACACTCTCCAAGGCCATCCCTCCCCTGTCCCTATCACCAGCAACCTCTCCACAGCCATACCAAGTTCCCACCTGTGGTCTGAGTACCCCTGGCTGTTAGAAGGCCAAACCACCGTAATGCCACAGGCATCTGTGTCTTTCTAACTCATCTAGGTTTCTCTGTTGTACGGAGAGATAAAGAGCAAGTGATGGAGAATGGACACACACACACACGCAGAGAGAGGTCAGAGATGGCACAGGATCAAAGGGAGGGAATGGAAGTATGTTATTATCAGAAAATGAGGGTGGACATGCGTTTGCCTAGGAGAGAGGCCAGACCACCCAGAATGGGCAGGTGAGAGGGCAGGGATAGACAGGTGAGTGTGTGCAGGGAGAATCGGTGTGAGGACACAGGCAGACCACGAGGAAGAGCAGGCAGTGCACATGGCCTTCCGGGGTGGAGGCGTACATCATCCATCGTTCAGGAGAGGGAGTGATGAGCACATTTACCAGTCAGTGTCAAGCTACCGACTGGCTACCAGAGAACACACAGATGCCAGAATATAATAAAAGTGGTCTCCCTGACCGTGTGGACAAAGAGGTCTGCGGATGTGTGCGTGCAGCCAGAGTATGCAGACAGCAACAAAGGGCAGCCATGAGAACAAGTGGATAGAGGCGAAAAAGTGCAAGTTTGTACAGACATGTGAAGGCTTGGGGTACGTATGAAAGCATAGGTAGGTAATCAAGGCTGACTGTGAAGGTTCCCTTATTCCTAAAGGATACGGGTCTAGGGGGCAGAGGACCGGTGATGCTAAACAGCATGTGCAGAGCCTGAAGCATGCACCACCAATGTTCAAGTTTGCACAGTGCAGATATCCAGGCTTCCTGTGCTTAGGGCCCCTGGTATATGGCAACCAGGCCCAGGACCTACTCCCAGAATTCCATGACAGGTGAGGTGACATTCTCCGAGTGGCTCACTGCTCTGGCTGCTGAGTGGTTCAGATAGTCCACGCAGTGCTCTGTCGGGGACAAGGATGGGGAAGTATATCGGTCAGGGACCCGATGAGGGAGGATGCTCTTGCACTTACCGCTGGCCCGTTACCCAGAGCTCCCCACTATTTCTAGGCCCAGGAGTTTCCTCAGGAGCCAGGATATGGGCGGGCGGGGGGGGGGGGGGGGGGGGCGGCCCCCCCCCTCCCCCCCCCCCCTCCCCCCCCCCCCCCTCCCTTACAGCCTGTGTCCACTGCACCTGTCTGGCCACTCCTATGAATGTGCCAAAACCCTCCAGAGCAATATGGAGCACAGACAAGCCCAGCCCACAAGGGCAGCTCCCTTCAATAGGCTGCCTGGCCTTCCCGTGTTCCACTCAAAGAGCCTAGACCCTGTGCTGAACTTTCCCCGTTCAGTTATCAAGATGGGCTCTAACCTCCCCCTGTTATTCTATATTTGCTGTACTTTTTTTTTTCTCCCTACCCATCAAGGGCAAGTCTGGCTTTGCTGATTCATCTTCTTCTACCGCGGCCAAGCCAAGCCCTTACTCAGTGTTTGACCCGTGAGAGGCGCCCAGAAACGCTTGCTAAATGGAGGCATGCTGCAGTTGTATGACAGCCTCACTGGTTCCCCCAGTGGCTAGTCCGTCTGGCTGCACAGAAGGGCCAGCCTGTAGCACTGAAAGCACAGCCCACGCGCCTCAGCTATAAGGCAAGGTCTGTGATGCTGTCACCAGCCGCCACGGGCCAACCTCACCGGCAAGGCCCCATGGTAGGACTGACACACAGATACCTGTGTTCCAGGAGTTGGTGCAAGTTGTCCAGGGAAGCTCCCAGGTGAAGGAGCTGAAGAGGTAGAAGAGAGCCCAGGCAAGGATGATGATGTAGTAGATGTTCAAGTAAGACTCAATGACCACAGATGCCATGCCAATGCCTGCAGGAGCAAAGCGAGAGTCAAAAAGGTCAGCATAAGCCAAGACACATTTCACACAGCGCCTGTGCCCCTACACCAAACTTCGTATCACCCTCTTAAGGGAAGTTGGATAGATTCATTGTCTTACATATCCTCCCATGGCAGTGGGAACATTTCCTTCTTTCCCTCTGCCTTCCCTCTGTCTCTGTCACTGTCCCCATCTCTCTCTCTCTCTCTCTCTCTCTCTCTCTCTCTCTCTCTCTCCCTGCCTGCCCTTTCTATTTTTCTATTGCCATCATATATCACCTGTAAAATGAGAAGCGACAAAGCAGGAAGGAGCAAGGCAGGATTGGCAAGAGCGTGGACAGCTGCTGAGGCTGTGTCAAGAACGCGGTCTCCTCAGTGGAAATGAGTTCTCATGGTGACCTTAGCTGCAGTGCTTAGCTGGGCCGTGGCCCCAGTGGGGGTCTCCTAGATACTACCAGAGGCCAGCTACAGCCCCAAGAGGTGTAGCTTGCAACTAGCCTTGCCTTTTCCCAGTCTTTAGTTAGGCAGCTAGCCTTCTCGGGAGCCAGGACACAGTTCTCCCAATTTGGTCCCTTTCTGGACAAACAAGCCAGCTAGCCTGGTCCCTAGTGATCCTTCAGGTACTAACATGAAGAACCTTTTCTGCATCTGAGGTGTAAGAGATGTCTCAGAGACAAGGGGGCTCTTGGGCCCTCCACCGTAGCCCTGGGAACTAGGTAAGCCACTAAGGGAGGCTGGTAAAAAGGCAGCCTGGCTGCTTGTGTCCACACCACAGATTGACCAGAGAAGGATAAGCTGTAACTAATGAAGGCAAGAAGAAAAGGCCTCGGGTGTTTAAACTCGTGGCGAATGACCTCACTCTCTGTCTGTAGAATGAGGTCAGTGTAATGAGAGTAACGAGAGGCTCACATGAACACTGACACAGCCAGGTTCCAAAGGTGCTGGCTATCACGCCACCAGCATTCTCGTGCTGATGAAGTCTCCTGAAGCCTGTTTGAGTCATGACATGGAGTCAGAAACATACTTTCCCTGGGGCCTGCCTGCATCTCCCAATATCCACACTTAATTTTTGGTATCTACAATTCTATACCGTTTTTCTCGACACACCCTTCTCCCTGGCTATCTAAACTTTGGGCCTCAAGAGGCTGATTTCACACAACACAGGAGAGGAGAGCCTGGCAAGTGAAGCTGGGAACAGGAAAACAAGAGCAGGGACAACAAACAGAGGCAGGCAGGATGGTGGGTCCGAGGGGAGAAAGGGGGAAGGATGACGCTCACCTTGGAGGAGGGGACAGATCTTCCTCCAAGCAGTAACACTCCCCTGGCTGCTATACTGGCCCAGTGCCACCTCCAGGAAGAACACCGGGATGCCACAGCTGAAGAAGAAGATGAAGTAGGGGACGAAGAAAGCACCTGGGAGGAAAAGAACGGCGGAGTCTGAGCCGCTTGCCGCTTCCAGACCTTGAACCCCTAGCCTCCCCCGACCCCTGCAGTCTCATCTCTCCTACATCCAAGACCCTCAGTGTCTCTGTCTAGCCGCATGCCGTCAGGGGTGCCCAGCAGAAGATCCTGACACAAGCCCCAAATAAGTCAGGCAAAGCCTTGGGGAAAAAAATAAAATAAAAAAGAAAGAAATGAATCCTGAGATGGAAGCTCCAGCAAATGAACTATTTACTGTGTTTTACAAATCAAATCACGTATTAGTTTTGAAAGAAAGACATGTGTTCTGTGTAATTTGATACGCTTATTAAGCTATCAAGATGGGAACATTTTAGAAACAAACAAAGCCAACTTGGGAGCCTTCTTTTCTCACCAGGAGTTTTCCGAGGGCTTTCCTCAAACCCTAGGGGCAGTCTGCTCCGCCTGCCCTGAAGCCCTACAGCGACCTGAGAGCTGCTGACTACTGTCTGGACCCCGAGGGCCCTCACGGAGAGAGGATTCTTCATTTGTTTGTTTGTTTTCTGGTTTTGCTTTTGTGTTTTGTTTGTGTTTGGTTTGTTTTTTTTTTGCAACTTAGCACTTCTATATCAGACCCTCTTCTAAGCTTCACCAGCACCGACCCTCACAAGTCAACCTCCCGCGAGAGAGATAGGTTCTCATCCCCTTCACAGATAAGAAAACCCAAGCCCAGGTGGCAAACACAAGAACTCAGGTACGCCTGAGGAAACGAGCACAGCACATCGGTGACCCTGAGGCTTCACTCCCGACCATGATGCCTCTGAAGTCCTCACTCCCGCCGACGAGAACCAGGGAGCACAAAAGGAATGAAAGCACAGAGCAGTGTATATCCTTTCCAAAGCTTGCCTGCCTGCATGCCTGCATGTCTGTTGCATGCTTGCATGTCTGTTGCATGCCTACTTCATACCTGCCTGCCTGTCTCCCTCCCTCCCTCCTTCCCTACATCTTTCCCTCCTCTTCTTCTTCCCTGTTTTCCTTCCCATCTTTTGTTGGCGAGATGGCACTAGGCTGACAACCCAGAGCCTCACACACAGCGACCAAATGCTCTACCGTGGAACTGTACCCCAGCTCTTCTTTCAGAATCTGCCTGGTTCTGTTTCGTTAGACAAGGTCTCACCATGTCATCCTTCTGGCCTTGATGCTCCTGACTCAGGGACCCAAGTACTGGAATTACAGGCCCTCTCTCTAAATTTCTTGTAAGCACACACATTTCTTCTTTATGAAAATTAGAATGTTTTATATGTCATTTGGCCACCACTTCTAAATCCATATCACAAACCTCTATTCTTGACAGCATTTCAGCACCCATAGAATTTTCTAGTGCAGGAAACGGTATTTTCTTATTATTTTTCTCACTGGACTTTTAGTTTTGTGTTTAGTGAAAACCACCCACATCCTAACGCACTTTTTGATTTTTGCTCCTTTAGGCGTAACTGCTGAGATCTTCCTCTTTTCTCGGTGTGTATGTGCATGCTGAAAATATGCAATGTAAGTACATACATTTTTCATAAGTTTAGAATCCCATAGCACTAAAGTGTTCTACCTCCAGAGAGCTTTTTCATCTTCCCAAACGGAAACTTTGTATGCATCAAACATGAGCTCTGCCTCTTCAGCCCCTGCCAATGACAGTCTACTTCCTGTCTCTCTGAATTTTCCTATTCTGGCCACCTCACATGGAATACGTGAATGGAACCATAACATTTATCCTTATATATTTGTTTCATTGATCACATCTTCAAATTCACCCATGCTGCAGCATGCATCATAATTCCCTTTTAAAGGATAACTAATAGGGCTGGAGAGAGATGGCTCAGCTGTTAAAAGACCAAGGACCATGCATGGAGAGGACCTAGACCCCACGTTCAATGGAAGTCCATTGGCTGCTCAGTTCCCCAGTGGGTTCCCTAGTAAGGGGTACAGGGGCTGTCTCTGATGTGAACTCAATGGCTGTCTGTTTGATCACCTCCCCTGGAGGGTGGAGGGGGTGCAGCCTTGCCAGGCCACATAGGAAGATGATGCAGCCAGCCTTGATGAGACCTGACAGGCTAGGGTCAGATAGAAGGGGAGGAGGACCTCCACTACCTGGAGACTAGGGAAAGGGCATAGGGGGAGAGGAGCGAGGGTGGGTGGGACTGAGAGGAGAAAAGGGAGGGGGCTGCAACGGGGATACAAAGTGAATAAACTGTGATAAATAAATAAATATATAAATAAAATTAAATTTAAAAGTGAATAAATTGTAATAAATAAAATTTTAAAAAGAAAAGAAATACAAAGATTTGCTCTCACAGAGGACCTGGGTTCAGTTTTCGGTACCCACATGCCAGATCACAATTATCCATAAATCCATTTCTAGGACTCACTCCAACACCCTCCTCTGACCTCCATGTGTACCAGGCTGTGTGAGCAGTACACATACATACATGCAGGCGAAACAGTCACATATAAAACGAAATAAATTTCAAAGAAAAATTCTAAATAAAACAAGGCCAATCAGTGGCCCCTGAGTACAGTTTCCACACTTTGAAGGAGGTCCTTCAAGGAAGTCCATGGGAGCATATGGCCTACAAGGCCCTTTCCACCAGCTGCAGGCATACATTTCCTGTGCCCTGGAATGCGGGCTTTTGCCCCCACAGAAGATGCAGAGCCCTGGAGACCCAGAGACAGGCTTTCCTCGGGCCATTTGGGGCTAGATGGAGGCTGGCTCTGGGTATAGTGCAGGAAGCCCTTGGCGCATGGCTCTCTACTGAGATACCAGCACTGCAAATGTCCTCTCCTCAAATGGGCTTATTAATCCTAGCCCGGGAACACTGCCTGGCCACAGTCTCATGGTGTGTAACCAGCTGTGCAGATAAGCAGCCTGACAGTGTCCACGGGGACCTTAGCCAATGGATTTCAGCTTGAGGTTCCTTTAGACTCTCCCTCCCTCTGCTGGTATCTACCTTAGGCAAAGGCCTGGTTTTCACTGAACCAGAGTCCTGCCTCATCTGGGGGTGAGGCATTTCTTAAGGACAGCGATGTTAAGTGGCTCCACTCTCTCTCTCGCAACCAGAGATGACCTTATCCTAACACGTTATTATTTTTCTACTTTTTTGAAAGGTAATCTCCTCTGCAGAGTTATGCTCATTAACCAATGATCAATGAATCTGTTTACATATTTTAATAAAAGATAAACTTCCTGTGATCTGGAGGAAGTGAGCCTTGTTAACACAAGGAGTTGGGACAATTCTAGCCTAAAGCAAAACAATGATATTTAGATTCATCTGTGACATCATGTTCCATATAAATCTTTTGCCAGCTGGTCTTATTATTTTTCTAGAGCCCCCAGAAGATCTCTATGGTGGGAGCCTGGGCCTCATTGTGGCCCTCGTGTTAAAGATGAGAGAAAGAAGGGTTGAAGTGAAAGTCCAGCTGCCCAGTTATAGGCAGCCCCGGGGTTAGTTTGGGAGAGAATCATTTGGATGCCAGAGCCCACAGTGCTCAAGCCTCTCATATAAAACATCACATGCCTAGATACAGGAACCCCCAGCTCATCTTAGGATGTCAGACTGTACTGTCAAAGGAACAATGTGGAAAGGCTGCATAATTTTACTACAGATGCAACTTTAAAAAAAAAAAGAAAAACATTTTTGATCCACAAGAGGTTTGCCTCCATCAATGCCAAACCTGGGTCAAGGGGCTGGACACACCTACTAGATATTTATCAGGTTCAGTACAAATAGGGTTTAGAAACCTTTTCTAAACAATGATTATCTCTAAGTGTGTTTTCAGTTCCTGGAACAGTTCTGATATGTATTAGAACAAGCCATTGCTGCAAGAAGAGCTACCTTCCAGACCCAAGAATGAATCTCATCGGTCACAAAGGATCCCCTTTCACCTTCTTCATGTCTGCTTAGATGTCACCCAAGAGTCCCTCTCCCTTTTTCCTGTTTTTCTCTTTGTGGCTCAACTCATCACCATGACAGGCCACGTGTGTTTCTCGCCTGTGATGTGCAGCCTTCATCAGAATGCAGCACGCAGGCCAAGTTCTGGCTTGCATCTAGAACAGAGCCTTGGCTCCTGACAGCACGCAGTCATGAGAGCTGAATGAACGGATCGATGAATGAATCCCATTAGCCGTGATAGCCCTCAGGGAGTAATGCAGAAGCTTAAGAAGCCAGGCCTCATGCTTCTGCTTCTGTGTCTGGCTTAAACCTCACACGGCCCTGGATGTTATGTCACCCCCAGCTCATAAGGAAGGGCCCTGAGGCTGGAGGTGGAGGTGAGACCCAACAGGAGCTTTCCAGATTCATGGCTAGCCCCCTTCCACTTGACCACACTCCCAGGGGAGATCCCCACCACACCACCTGAACGTGAACTCACCACCTCCATTCTTATAGCAGAGATAGGGAAACCTCCAGACGTTGCCTAGCCCAATGATCTCCCCAGCCACTGACAGCACAAACTCCATCTTGTTGGTCCATTGGCCTCGATCCTTCATCTGGTCCTTGCCTTTCTGGTCCATCATCTCTCCCTCCTCAGGGACCCAAGAGACCACTGGATACCCATCTTCATGGACTGCAACTTTTCTGTCCATACTGGATAAGGAGGCCCTGTAAGGTAAGGCAGGACCGTAAGGTAAGGCAGGACCGTGAGATGCAGAAACCTGATAAGGGGAGAATACACATACGCACTCTCTCTCTCTCTCTCTCTCTCTCTCTCTCTCTCACACACACACACACACACACACACACATACCCAGCCTGCATACCCATCTCCCTTCACCCTGATCTTTCTAGCCCAGTCCTTTCTGTTGGCATATTACCTTTCTTCCCAAGCTCTTGATGACATTTCTGCCTCAAGTGACACTCCACTCTCAGAGTTATGAGGCTGAGCCAACAGGAAGCAGATCTTAGCTTGCCAAGTCTTCAGCAGACAAAGCAGGGTTTTAGGGATCAGAGACTTGCTCAACACCACCCAGGGGCAGAGCTGTGACTAAAACCCCATCACTGAGGAACTTAGAGCTAAAATTCCCTTTGATCTTTATAGCCGGCCACCATGCGAGCTGGCCCTTCTGTCCAGATCTTCAGTGTGCTGTGAATAACAGCGACCTGGCCTCTGGCCTCCAGACCAGAAGGGCTCAAAGGCTGCCAGGGGTGCCAAGGTTAAAGGGCAGGTGTGGCCGAAGTGGCTCACGGGGCTTTCCTGAGCAGTTGTGATCAATAGAGGCCTGGTAAACATGGGAGCTGGCTCACTGTGGGGTCTGATTGGGAGAGAGCTGGAAGGTGGGGCCTCTAAGAAGGGCCAGCGGAGGACAGGCTTGGCATCCAGTCCAGCCGTAGGCCTTCAAGGGAAGCTGTTTCTTTGTATGTCTGTCCTGAGAAAGGTAGGGGATCTTGGGGCCAGCAGGGGGCACTTGGATGGTGGTTATGTCAAGATGACCTCAAGATCAGGCTGAGCGCGTGGCTGGAGCTTCTCTCTGTGGCTTACAAGGACAGCCTGGCCGGAGCTGCCCTTTGTGGCTGTCGCCATTCCCTTCCCCCGCCATCTAAACTGTCCAGCACTGCTGAAGCCTCCACGGGACACTGTCCATTCTGTTTTCTGTTCCTCTTGTCTATTTGTCAATTTCCAGGAGGTAAACTGCATCTAGAACCCACGCCTGCTTCCTCCTTCCTCTTTGCCTCCATACAGCTGGTCATCCTGAGGCCACTATTGGCCTTCCTCCCAGGGAGATGCCAAGAAGGAGGTGACTATACTGTCAGGAAAGCACTGTCCACTGACCCTCACCTCCTGGGATATCCAGGGAGTCAAAGTGACCAGGCCTGCTAGGCAATCTCTACTCCTCCGGGTGCTCTGGGAAAACACAGGGAGTCTTTTTATGAAGGAAGACTCTGTGTTTATTTGTTAGTCCTTTTAACCCAGGCAACAGCCCAAGCCCAAGTCCGTTAGAAAGGCGTGGGCAGAAACCAGTTAGGGTTGTGGAAAATTTTGAAGGTGACTTGGCGGGTGCAGGCTATCCCAGGAATGAGAAAGCATGGCAGGGTGAGGTTCTGGTATTGGGATATGCTCAGAGTTTCTAACTCTGTGAAAGCTCTGTGCAGGAAAGGGAGAAGGAGAGCTGGTGCAAACTCAGGGCTCCGGCCTCTCAGGCACAAGGAAGAAGGATGAGGCAGGGAGGGAGGGGCTCCAGGCTGCGTTACTGGAGCCCACCCACCGGAGCTCAGTCCCTCCCAGGGCAGCAGTCAGTGAAGCCTGAACCCAGACTGAAACAGTTAGCACCTTGCAGAGTGACGCGTGAATCATTTCCAAATGATAAATGATGAACAAATAAAGGGCTAATGAATGAGCTGCAAACGCTGCCACAAGACAGGAAATCAAGTTCACCCAGACTTGCTAATTACAACAATGAGAGATCAACGTCTGAATCAACACGCGATTAAAGACATAAAGTTCTTAATATCCACTATCAAATCTCATCCTAACGGTCTCTGAAGTTACCAGTACTATTGAACCTGCATTACAGAGGAGGAAGTGAGGCTCCAGGTTGAAGAACACCTGACACGCAGCACGTGCTCAGTTAAATAGATCTTTAAGGGCCAAACCAATTCACCAAGATAACGAGTAGCTGTTTTGTGATTTAGGCAAATGCACCTTCCCTCTGAGCCCTAAATCTCCCAGCGGAGAGAATGACCCCTTCTCTCTCAATAGGGGTATGGACAGAGTGAGCGAGTAGAGGTGAAGAGGTGTGTAAAAGACCATAACAGGTTGCCTTTGCTTGCTAAGCCATGGGATAGCTGGGCTCACAGCGAGCCCCACATGCAAGGAACCCCAAGGAACCTGGCAGATGGCAAGCCTTGCTCTCTCCCAACCACTGGCAGCTGGTGTAAGATGAAGACCATCTCAAGAGCTGGAGGGGAAGACCTGGCGGGAAAAGGAGTACATGAAGGAATGAATGAAGGGGAAAATAGAAAACAGCAGTGTCAGGGGAGCAAACCCAGAACCAGTCCAGTCCTGAGACTGAGGCTTATCAAGGATGAGAAAGAAGAAAAGAACCTGAGATGATGGACAGCCATGGGCATGAACTTCTTATAAATAAAAGATTGGGCCTGGAGAAATGGCTCGGCCCTTAAGAGCACTGGCTGACCTTCCAGAGGACCCAGGTTCAACTCCCAGCACCAACAGGGTGACTCATAACTGTAACCTCGGCCCCAGGGGATTCCTCTCCCGGCCTCCTCATGTCCCAGGCATGAAGTGTACAGATATGCATGCAGGCAAAACATCCATACACAGAAAATAAACAAATAAAGAAATTATTTAAGGGATTCTTGAGAAAAGCATGTATCACAGGTAAGAATGGAAAACTAGAACAGCAAAATGAAAGCAAAGGCACGCAAAAGGAGGGATGGCCCGGGGCCAGGATGAGCAGAGCGAAAGAGGGCTGAAACCACAGCACTGGATGTTCAAGTTAGGCTCAGGGGTGAAATGTCCAGGAGGACAATAACCATAAAAGCAAGCTGCCCAAGGCCCTCTTTCCTTTCTTTAATTTTAGGGCCAGTATAGTAGCACATGCCTGAGATCTCCAGAACTAGGGACAGAGGCAGGATGGTTGAGGTCCCCGGGCCAGCCCAGCTGCATGGCCAGAGCCTGCCTCACAAAAACAAAAACAACAACAAACCCAAAGGGCAGCTCCACCCCCGAGGTGCCCTCCCACCTCTAGTCTCTTTGCTAGGAACAATTCAGCGACAGCACAGACAGCTTGTTCCCCTTCGCAAGCTCTGTTACCTCTGCAGCCATTGATCTCCTCCACAGGCTGTCCACCTGCTTTGCCAGGCTGGGGCAGTCTGGGGGCAGGGGAGGGACTTCACCATACTTGGGTGCCCTTGAGCATATCCTGGGTTCTGTCTTCAAAGGACCAGAAAGTACAGCCTTAGCTCTCCTCTCAGGAGCTGGGCAGGTTAGATGGAAGCCCACCCTGGGTTCTAGGGAGGCACCTCCAGAAATCTGCCCTCCCCTGCCCCCCACACACCACTAGGGTTCCACTCAGACACCTTCACCCCCTTCCCGGCACAGAAGAGACCCAGCCCCACTTCAGCCCGTACCGACATACCAGCACCCACCCCTGAGCACCCTGGTGCCATTCCGTCACGTCCCCTTGCACACACATACCTGTGTGCATGGCCCCAAAGCCTGGCTCCTGTAGCCCTTCACACCTGGTAGGCAGCTGGGCTCCACTGTGGCAGCCCACATCTTCCCCAGCTCCCCCTCTCCCTCAGGCCCAGACCCAACCCAGCTGGAGCTCCCCCCCCCCTTCTGAGAGGCGCTCAGGCTGCCTGCAGCTGGCCCTGGCTGCCTGGGAAGCAGGCGCCCCCAACCTGTGACTGTTAGTTCCAAATCCATCCACTCTCCCTTCCTGCCTCTGGGAACAGACCGCCCTCCCCTGGCAGGCAGACGGCCCGCCTCTTGCCTCTCGGGGCCAGTTCCCCATCTGTGGACTTTCCTACTACTCAGGCTCGTCCCTGAGCAGTTCCGTTCGTGTGGACAGCGAGGGTGACGGTGGAGCATGCCTAAACATCACACTCTCTGCGGCCTCAGTGGACCACAGTTCCCTGCTTCCTGCCCAGACACAAAGTCCTGCCAGGTCTGGCCTCTGGTCTGAGTCCTCAGCTCTCCAGACTCAGGGGTACAGGCGGTGTGAGAATCAGACTGAGGGATCCTGCGCATGCTCCTTACTTACCTGGTCGCTCAGCTCAGCTAGAGCGCTTGCTCCTGAGTGAGTAAGTGTCTCCAGACCTGGAAGAGGAATTCTCACCTTCAGTTCTCTGCTCCTCCCTACCACAGCCCCAGAGAGAGGGAGGGGGAAGAGTGGAGAGGCAAAAGACCACAAGTAACAAGAAAGACTGAAGACTCTATAAACCCTCTGGCCAGCCAGCCTCCTAACCTGTCTCTCTGCCCCCTCCAGGGCCCCCTCTCCTGACTAGTGTCTTCCCAATAGGCACTAGCAGAACAAGCCCCACAACCACGAAGAGCCTTGCTGACCTGCTGCCTCAGGCAGCCCTACCTCCCTAACCTCTCTCCTCCTGCTGCTGACCCCTCATCCTTACCCTCACCTCCACCCCCAAAACTGTCTCCTTCTTAGGCAAGGTACAACCCCTCTTACCAGAGCAGTGGGATGGGAGCCACCAACTGGACACTGGGGACCTTGGGAGGGGAGCCGGCCTCAGTGACGAGGGCATGGGAGGAGGGTGAATCACACACTGGAGTTTTCCACCAAGTACCTGCCCTCTGCAGCTCCCCAGCAGAGCTCTAGACCTTCGCAGCCACTGCCTTCTCCTTGGGATTTTTCCTAGAGAAGGCTCCAGAGCCTGCATATCCCAGGAAGGGAAATGCAAATAGGATCCAGGGCACAGCTCAGCCACCCTGAATTTCCTCACCTCTCTTACCATGGTCTCTCAGCCGAGGAAGCTTCTGAGCCTCAGTCTCCCACTCTGGAAAGGTGGATAACGGATGCTTTCAGGGTTCCTGTGAGGGTTTAAGGCAACTTGGCCAGGCTAGGAAATCACAGGTACTTAAGGAGAGTTGCCAGTATTTGCTGCAGGCTCTAGTAGGGGTTCTAGGACCCAGACACCCTGATTCTGCCCATCACAGAGCCACACACCGAAGGCTCCTCTGGAACAGCCTGGCAGCCGTCAAGTGTGAACACACGTGGGGAATGTGTATGCCCTCGGCAACGATGGGAGGATTTTCCAAAACAGTGTTCTCCGAGCGCGTGTTCACAGCATGGATGCGAAAAGGCCGGTGGCCTCTGGGAAGGTGAGAGGTGGAGTGCGAGCAGGGGAAGTTGCGGGGAGCAAGGGAAATCTCCCTTCATGTGGACTTCCCCTTTATCTGCTCCAACTTCCTAGCAGTGGAGGGTGTGAAGTGACCCTGGCAGTCTGTAATTTTCCACCGGCACCCTCCTCCTCATCCTTCAGGTCCCCCTTGGCCTCTGTTCCCCATCAAGAAAAAACACAGTGGGTCCAGCCCTCAACCCCTTTACCTCGATGAAACCAGAAGTGAGGTCTAGAGAAAAAAATGTCGTGACCTGCCACACGACATGCCCAGCTGGCATGGTGCTACCTGCCCTGCTGGGTCTGCTCTGTC